CTTATATTTAGTTATCCTTTAAGTGCAGGTACCATGTTCCTGCTATTACTGGTCATAAACTGTAAATCCTCCTTTGTATGCTCAGGGGGCTCTCCAATCCTAGGCATATTGACATGTCCCATGTATGCTACAATGCTCATGTTGGAGCTATGACACATCCCCAGTTGTGATGCAAACCAACATAGAAGCCTTACTGGCCACTTAAGCTCTCCTAATGGATATTTCTATAGCTTGAGTATGTCGAGTATTGAGAAGCTTCCCAGGAGCACAGACGAGGATTTACAGGTTAACAATGGTTAGGCAGGAAGTTTGTTGTGTCTGCGCTTAATTGTAAAGGCTAAATTAATTTGTAATCTGTTCTCACACTATGTGCCTGGCTGAAAAGCCTCAGAAAGAAGTTGCCATTCTCAGATTCTTGACTGTGTACCTGTTCCAAAAAAAGTAAAAATACATGTTCTAAAACGACCAGCCTACAACTAGTATGTAGATCCAAGGTTGGCCCTCTGATACTAGCTGTGTGAATACTGGACCTCAGCAACTAGTAATCAGTGTTTTCCCTGCCTAAGAACCTATAGGTCAATGAAGGAAAACATTCATTAATAATTACTGACTTCTGATGATTAAATTATGTTACCTTAATTCTGTGGTGTTCTTGCCCTTTTTTCTTTTTCTCCCCACCCCCCCACAATTTTTTTTGTAATGGATCATACTAAGAATTATCAAGCACAACACCAGTAATGTAAGGAGATTTAGGAAGCACAAACGTTGAGGTGTTAATTTGTAATTGCAATGAACTATGGAAGTCTTAAGCATTTGTTTTCAGTCTCCGAGCACTGCTGTATGCAATGAATGACTAGTCCTTTGTTGGTGTCTAGGGTTGCACTTGAACCCCCTATATGAAATAAGGTACAGTGGGGCAAAAAAGTATTTAGTCAGCCACCAATTGTGCAAGTTCTCCCACTTAAAAATATGAGAGAGGCCTGTAATTGGCATCATAGGTAGACCTCAACTATGAGAGACAAAATGAGAAACAAAATCCAGACAATCACATTGGCTGATTTGAAAAGAATTTATTTCCAAATTATGGTGGAAAATAAGTATTTGGTCACCTACAAACAAGCAAGATTTCTGGCTCTCACAGACCTGTACTTTCTTCTTTAAGAGGCTCCTTTGCTCTGCACTCATTACCTGTATCAATGGCACCTGTTTGAACTTGTTATCAGTATAAAAGAAACCTGTCCATAAACTCAAACAGTCACACTCCAAACTCTACTATGGTGAAGACCAAAGAGCTGTCGAAGGACACCAGAAACAAAATTGTAGACCTGCACCAGGAACTCAGATCCTGCAGTGCCAGACATGTCCCCCTGCTTAAGCCAGTACATGTCCGGGCCCATCTGAAGTTTGCTAGAGAGCATTTGGATGATCCAGAAGAGGATTGGGAGAATGTCATATGGTCAGATGAAACCAAAATAGAACTGTTTGGTAGAAACACAACTCATCGTGTTTGGAGGAGAGAGAATGCTGAGTTGCATCCAAAGAACACCATACCTACTGTGAAGCATGGGGGTGGCAACATCATGCTTTGGGGCTGTTTCTCCGCAAAGGGACCAGGACGACTGATCCATGTACAGGACAGAATGAATGGGGCCATGTATCGTAAGATTTTGAGTGCAAACCTCCTTCCATCAGCAAGGGCATTGAAGATAAAATGTGGCTGGGTCCTCCAACATGACAATGATCCCAAACATACCGCCCGGCAACGAAGCAGTGGCTTCGTAAGAAGCATTTCAAGGTCCTGGAGTGGCCTAGCCAGTCTCCAGATCTCAACCCCATAGAAAACCTTTGGAGGGAGTTGAAAGTCCATGTTGCCCAGCGACAGCCCCAAAACATCACTGCTCTAGAGGAGATCTGCATGGAGGAATGGGCCAACATACCAGCAACAGTGTGTGCCAACCTAGTGAAGACTTACAGGAAACATTTGACCTCTGTCATTGCCAACAAAGGATATATAATAAAGTATTGAGATGAACTTTTCATATTGACCAAATACTTATTTTCCACCATAATTTGCAAATAAATTCTTTCCAAATCAGCCAATGTGATTGTCTGGATTTTTTTTCTCATTTTGTCTCTCATAGTTGAGGTCTACCTATGATGCCAATTACAGGCCTCTCTCTCTTTTTAAGTGGGAGAACTTGCACAATTGGTGGATGACTAAATACTTTTTTGCCCCACTGTATATGCGTTGAGTCCTTTATATTAAAGCACAAGCAGCCCTTACGCGGGTCATGTAAAGGGAAGAGTGGATCATGCATATCATGGGTTTAGACTTATCTTTACTATATCACAGATACAAGTAAAATATGTTAAGTGATAACATGTTTTTTTAAAATGTTCACATACACTACACAATATCACTGTCATGTAGTAGGTCAATATCATGCATTGATGTCTGTTAGCTTTCTGATGAAAGTGCCCTTATCATTTGAGTTACCTATGTTGATGTTCCTACATGTGAGTTTAAAATATTTGGCTTCCATTTGCCATCAAGATAAATGTATCATTTTGTTTTATACTGTTAATCATTTTAGGTTATATCATTGTAACCAGAGGGTGCCTTAGGTGATCATTAAAAGGGATTACTGGACAGGAAGCCAGGTGAATGTGTGAAAATGTCTCCCCCTCCTCAGACTATTTTGAAATTATCTTCAGTTCTGATAAGCTCTTAATACTACCATTAAGCCTTTGTTTTTATCTAACTATGTGCACCTGAAATTATGTTTCCAGCCAAGATTATCATGCAGTTAATGATTAATTGACATTGGATAACAGTGAAGACTATCCAGAGGGTTTCAGGACATCATCCTGTGTAATGCAACAGTGCCTCTCAGTGGTGATTCATTATATCACCACTTAAAAAAAAAAATCTATCATCCTTTCTTTTATATTCACTTGACCGCCTGAAGATTTAACCCCTCTTGACTAGGCCATTTTTTGCTTTCTGGCACTGCATTACTTTGACAATTGTGCGGTAATGCTATGGCGTTCATAAATGAAATTGATATAACTTTTTCCTCACAAATAGAGTGATCTTTTGGTGGTATTTGATCACCACTGGTTATTTTCTGCACTATAAACAAAAAAAGACCGATAATTTTGAACAAACAATATTTTTTACTTTCTGCTATAAAACATAACAAAATTGTTTTTTGTAAAAAATCACATTTCTTCATAAATTTAGGCCAATATGTATTCTGTTACATATTTTTAGTAAAAGAATCCCAATAAGTGTATATTGATTGGTTTACGCGAATGCTATAGCATCTACAAACTATGGTGTACATACAGGAATTTGTTTTTCATAATTGTAATGGCGGTGATCCCGACTTAGAGTGGGAATGCGATACTGTAGTTGACAATCTGACACTAACTGACCCTTTGTAGAAACCAGTGACGCTAATACAGTGAACAGTGCTAAAAATATGCACTGCCTATTGACTGCACTGGCAACTGGTGCTTTCACTAAGGGATGTGCTAGATGTTATTACCTGCTTTGCAGAGAAACAAAATACAGCACAACCCCACTGACAGAACAGAGCTCTGCTTTGTTTCTTCTTGCCGAACAGAGGGTGGCGGTGGTCATCCACTAAAGTGTTGAAAAGGCCCAAAAGCTAGAAACATTACAGCGATTCAACAAGTGACAGTACTTTCTGGGTAGGGCTTTCACCTACAGAGCTCTGGATTTGAAGAACAGGGCTGGCCCCTCAAAACGCGTTAGGCTTAGCTTTGAAGGCTTCCCAAACCACTGGCTGAGAACTGTGGACCTGGAGGTGGCCTCGACTGCATACTTTTAAATGACAATGAATGTGCAGCAGAAATACTGCTAGAGGGCGTGTGTATATATATATATATATATATATATATATATATATATATATATATATATACATATATATATATATATATATATATATATATATACATATATACATATATATATACACATACATATATTGCCAGCGTGTTTACACAGTAAAGCACACACACAGATAAAAAAAGCACACAGTTAATCCTTTGATTGCCCCAGATGTTAACGCCTTCTTGCCCAGTGTCATTATTACAATGTAAGTGCTTTTATTAGCACTGAAACAAACATGTCATACTTACCTGCTATGTGCAGTGGTTTTGCACAGAGTAGCTTGGATCCTCCTCTTGTCAGGTCCCCCACCGGTGCTCCTGGCCCCTCCCTCCTGTTGGGTGCCCCCACAGCAAGCAGTTTGCTATATGGGGGCACCTGAGTATGCACACTTCCCAGCTGCTGCTCTGTAAGTCCATTCACACAGAGCCATGGTTTGGCCCCACCCCCTCTCTCTTCTCATTGGCTCACTGGCTGAGATTGACAGCAGTGGGAGCCAATGGCTTCCACTGCTGTCTCAGTCAATGAGGAGAGAGAGTCCCGGGATAGGTGAGACTCCAGTGCAAATCGCTAGATTGAGAGGGGGCTTAGGTGAGTATTAGGGGGGCTGGGGGGGATGCTGCAAAAGAGTAGGATTTTTTACCTTCATGCATAGAATGCATGAAGATAGAAAACCTTGAGCCTTTACAACCACTTTAAAGTAATAGTGCTTCCTACTCACTTCCCCCACCCTCCACCATCTCCAGGCAAAATATACTGTATTCCACTCTATTTACATGTGACAGTGCTCAAGCCTGAGTGGCCAATTATCAGTCATGAACCTGGGTAATCTTCAACACTATCTGACTGCAGCTTAACCAAGGTGGATGTGAGGGAGCGGATATGGAAGTATACCTTGCTGGGGAGTGGACTATCAAAAGGCATTGTCACCATGTCCTGAATAGGCAGATAATGATGTCTCTTTATCTGGATTTACAACTAGGTTGTCCTAAAGCAACAAAGTCATTTCAAAGTCCCTTTTCTAGTACTGCAGTGAAAACATCTTTAACTTTTTTGTTGTTAATAGGGAAACCAAAATTACCTGGGACCCATTTTACTTCCATTTCCACATCCTTGTCCTCCTGCTTCTTCTCCTTTTCCTGGATGCCCTTAAGCAGCTCCCTGTAACGAGCAATCTGGTCTTCATCATCCTTTGGCCCTATTTTAGACTTCACATCTTCTACCTCCACATTTTCTACAAGGGTAAAAACATAATTGCAATCCATTGCAAGAATAATCTATGCAGCATAAAGAAGCAATAACAAACACGGTACCAAATACAATGCATTACCCCAAAATTAAAAGCAAATCTTAATGTTTATTTATATATTTGAAAATGCAGTTGTGCTGGATGGGGTTTGCTACAGATAAAAGCAACAACGAAGAAAGTTTAAAGCAGTATTAAACCCAAAACCAAAAATAGAGTATATTACAGCTAACCAATCAGATGCGGTGGCTGCATTAGCTTTCTTCTTTCATGGTTTTTCCCTGTGTTTTCACCTGGTGATCCTGCCAGTAACATGCCTCCTATTTTAGAGTGCCTCCACTCTGGATGAAGAGAGAGATACCTTTGGATAGCAGCACTGTCGGTCTGGGGGCTGGGGCATGGTAAATGAACTCAAACTCCAGTTAACACTTTATAAGCAGTTACAGCAACAGGGTTTTTATTTTTGAGGTAAAGGTTTTATATTAGGGGTCACCAACCAGTAGATAGTGGCCAGGAGACTGGTGGATCAGGGTCTAGGCTTGCTGACCTGCCATTCCAAACCATCAAACAGAATGCAATGCAGAGAGACTACTTGTTGGAGCTGTAATAGGGAGCAAGAGCCACATAAGGCAATGCCTCCTCTGTAGCTCTGGATCCTGTCCCATGAGGGGTGATACCAACTGCTCTCCACCTCTTATCCTGGCTAGTGGTCTAAAGAATGGTGCCAACAGCAGGAAAGAAGAAATCCTCAAGTCAGTGTGAAGCAATACACTGGGCATAAAAGCATAGGGCTGTTTTCACTCTGATGCCCTGAGATTAACCCTCACTGCGGATGCAGGGCAGTGTACCTGCTGCTTTCCTGCTGGTTGGCAGCGCTTAGTCATGGACTACTATTATATCCTGAGTGTTTGCTGCAATTTCTGAAAACTCCTGGAGTTTTGGTGCACTTTCAGAAAGTGCTCCACACCTGCAGGATATAATGGAAGTCTATGGCATAGCACAGCTAAACCAGTGCAATGTTGCAGATGCACTGCGCTGCACCCGCGGTGCAGGTAAACTCCAGCACATCAGTGTGAAAGCAGCCTTATAGGGGGCTCAGAACAGTAAGGGTTCATTTACATTTGCAGTTTGGGGGGTAGTAAACTCCATAGTTAAGACAAGTTTACCCCACCCGCACCCCCTTTACCTACAGTGGCAAGGGGTGTACACATGTTGCAGCCACAGCAGGAGTTAAATGCCTGTCATGGTTGGTGGGTGTAGCGCCCAACAAGCATGACCCATTCAAGTGAATGAAGCCACTCTGCAAGTGCCCTGAAATCTTCTGCAGTGCAAACAAGAAGTGAAAATAAAAGACAGAAGGCCTAAAAAAAAAAAAAAACTAATGCAGCCACCATAAACTAAGAAATGGTAAGCTGCAATATAATAAATGTTTGCTTTTGGGTTTAATACCTCTTCCAGCCTTGAAAGAATGTGAAGGACATACAACATGAGAAATATGAAGGCTGACACTGCTGATCTCCTCCTGAAAGTAGCTGGTGCCTGAATTTCTCTGGTTTCAGTCCTGAGTGAATGACTTTGGACAAGCATGTAGCTAGTGAAATCAGAAGAATATAAAAACTCCTTATCTGCATATTTAACTAGGGTCTGTTACTAGCATAATTTGGAAAAATCTGGATACATGCCACAGCCAGGTAAATAACATTTTCAATAAACTGCGTATTTTCTCAGTTCAGGTTTGATCAACGACACAAACATAGACATTGGCTACACCTCTGCATGTGAAATTTTAACGCGAGTATGAATGGATTCAATAAACTAACCTGCTGAGAGTTCATCATCCTCTTCTTCACTAGAAGATGCTAAATATGCCTGAAAATCCATGTCAAGGATCTCATTCTTTTTAAACGGTCTGTTTAAAGTCGTAACCCTTTCCTGATCAGTCTCATCCCAAGTCAGGTCTACCTAAAATAAATAAAATTGAAAAAAAAAAAAAACAAACAAACCCAAAAACAAAAAACACTTTATTAAATTAAACACTTTGTGATAATAAACCCCAAATCCTAACAATAGTGCATTTAAAATTAAATTGCTATTACACCCAAAACCAAAAATGTAATATATAGCAGCTTGCCAATCATTAAATATGGTGACTGCATAGGTTTTTTTTTTTTTCTTCAAGGCTTTTTTCTTCTGTTTTTACCTGGTGATCTGGCCAGTAAAACACCTCTTGTATTGTATTGCCTCTATTCTGGAAGATGGAGCAACAAAGACACCTTTGTAGAGCAGCATTGTTAATTAGTGGGATGGGAGCATTAGTTATACTAGCAAATTGTGATACACTAACAAATGGAAGCCAAACTCCAGCTTACAGCAACAGTTTTTTTCCTTTTGGGATAAAGATTTTACATAAATGAAATAAGGATGATCATTGTAAGCACCCCTGTCAGTTTGTCTCAGGGCTCATTCAAACAATACGTGCATAAAAACTGAAGGAAACTGACGCGCAAATTTCACTTCCAGAGACATCAGTTTTCATGTATGCTTCTGTGAGTTTTATATAAGTTACAGATTCCTGTGCAGAAAAATTCTGCATGGGATACTAGTGTTGTGGTGTGAACAGGGCACATAGAGAACAATTGATTTTGCTGTGCCCTTGCAGAACACATGCGGAAAAACTGACGTCTCTGCACCATGGCGTGAACGAGCTCTCATCCCTCTACAGTAACTGCTACATCTGCAAGACAGCTTGTTCTTTTGGTGGCCAGACAGCCAGGTGCAAAATAAGGGAAAGAATCCCTATAAAAGATAGCTAATGCAGTCACCACATCGAAGAATAGTTAAGCTGCAATATAATAAATGTTTGCTTTTGCGTTTAATACCACTTTAACTGTTGCCCCTTTTAAATCAGCTGATTTAGTGCCATCAACTGTAATCACCATTTTTATATCACTTATACCAGTACAACAAGAAATGAATTGATAACAGGAAAAAAGATTGATAATATCTTTTCGTCTTTTATGAAATAAACATTCTGAACATCCCTACAGATGAGGATGCTCTTCTCCCAACCCTTCAAGCCAAAGCGGAGCTTGCCAAGGAGCATTAACATCTAAAGGGAAGCCTTCTTTCATTGTATGCTTTAAAGCATCACAGGTTCTGTTGCTATAGCTCTATGTAGGTCTCTTGCTGTTTTCTAGGACCCAGTGCAAGTTTATTTGGCTTACACCAGGTGCTATATGTATATGAAGTACAGGGAGTAATAAACAGCTCTTATATCAGACAGAGAGGTCAAATAAAATTATTAAGTGAGTTGTCTATACCTTTGATGTTACATTGGCTGCAGAGGTAAATAACTTCGGTTTGTAAGCAGAGATGTCCACATCTACAGCGGAGTCCTTGGGCTCATCATCAAACTGTGCCTCATCGGGAATAAACCTGTTAAGTGCAATAGAGACCAGAGAAATGCATATTTAAAAATGCTATAAAAAAAAAAAAATTACGATGTGCATATTTTCTGATAGGATGCTATTTGCTCCAGTTTGCAGTGAGCCTGCAAACATAACAGCACTATGCACAAAGGCGTTAACAGAACAATGTTAGCAATGAGTGGTGGTGTTTAGTACATAAGCACTTGGCTGCTATTTATTACTAGACAGCTTTAATTAATGACAATAGTTGTTATAGGAAACATTTGATAACAGCTGAGCATCATGTATAACACCAGCAACAAACTCTAGTTGAATTCAAGCACAATAAATACTTTTGTTCACACCTCAGTTACCTTTTTATTACAAGATAAGGTTTAGTAGACAAATACAAAATTGTATTTTTGCTGTGATTTATACGCCCCAAGGGCCTATAACATTTACCTAGCACTAGGACAGTGCAACTCCTGTGTAAGTAAAGTATATAATAAATACAATCCACATAAGGGATTGGCACAGGAAATACACCCTGTAAAAAACCTGTATACCATTTTAAGAGTACAGGATGGCTGCTATTGCCTTTTAAAACCCATCTCGGTGTACCTGATTTAGTTTAATTTGCTACTGAGGACCAGACACTGGGCTAAGCCTTGCCCAGCTTTTATTCTCCTTTCTGATCTTTTCTTTTGCCCACTAAACAGCGGACACCTTGTTATAGTACTTTTCTTTTAATTATAAACATTTGAAATGGCTGACATTTTTAGTTTACAGTACATAAAAGCCAAGGGATGACAGACAAGATAAGAGACAATTCATGTGGAATATGTGAAACTGATAATCCCTAATAGGTAGTTAAGAATGTGTAAGGAAGTCTAATGAAAATAAAAAATGTTTGGAAGAAAAAAAAAAGGAATGTGTCAAGGCCTCTTTCACATGTGCAATGATTCTAAACACACTCCTAAAAATGATCACTTTTCAGACACCGTTTAAAGGCGGTTTACCGAAATTCAGACTGCTGCTAACTGTACGACAGCTTTTTTTTTTTTTTTTTTTTTTTTTTTTTACGATTCCAAGGGAGATTTTACATTAAAATACCTCAACTGCTAGGCAAGCACTCGGCATGCAGATGTAACATGGACACATTGGGGGTTATTTACTAAAACTAGAGAGTGCAAAATCTGGTGCAGCTCTGCATAGAAACCAATCAGCTTCCAAGTTTTATTGCCAAAGCTTCATTGGACAAGCTGAAGTTAGAAGCTGATTGGCTAACTTTCACAACTGCACCACATTCTGAGTGCTCCAATTTTAGTAAATCTTCCCCATTGATTTCAATGCAACATGTTTGCCAAACATGATATTGATTTGCAAACTACACAAATTTCACAACAGGAAAAAGATGGTGTGTCGAACAGTTACTCTTCTACCAATGGTATGCAAAATAATTCAGCTATTAAATCCACTAAGAAATTTCAGGAACATGCACAAAAAATTAAGCCGGGAGCTGTCCCCAAGATGAAGGAAAATGTTTTTTTTAGACAGACCAAATCTGAGCACCTCACCCAAGGCAGGCAAGGGGATAGAATTATACACAGTAAAAACAACACAGAAAGGGGATTGAATATCATCAATCTCTCATCCTACAAATTATCAAGAGAAGAGGAACAGGTATTAGCATTGGGACTTTTTGTGCCAACAAAGGAATCGATACATTTGAAACAATCAAAGAGATTAATCTTTTTGCACGAAAATTGTTCTTTACAAGCTTCTATGTCAAACACACGAATAAAGATGAAAATATGGAGACTAATCTTACAACAGCGGACTTTAAAGCACTTAGAGACTTAATGTTACTATTGGAAGAAAGTGAACCCAACAATCAGATTGATGGCTGGGACACTGAAAATCTGTTGGAGCAAATTAGTGAGGACACACAAACACAGGATATGAGTTTTCGCAAGAAGTCTCATATTTTTCCATCTCTTAGTCAAAATCCAGCTATTGCTTTGTTTGTACGACATGTTACTAAGAATATTGAATTACTTAAATCTGACCATACTCATGGTAATTTGAGTGCAGCTGAAAAAACTGCAGTCAAATCATTATTGGCAAATACCAAAATAACTCTTAAACCTTCTGATAAGGGAGGGAACATTGTCATAACGGACAATTGCATGTATGAAACCGTGTTTAAAAATCCTTAGAAATAAAACATGTTATAGGAAAAATCTCTGCTGCACTGACGAATGAATTCAACTCAAAATTTTATGAGTTGGTTCATTCAGCATATAGAAACGGAACTATCCAGAAAGATCTATGGGAATATATTAGAACTAGGCACCCTAGAATGCCAACATTCTATGCACTTACTAAAATTCACAAAGACACGAACAATCCTCCTGGTAGACCTATCAATTCAGGAAATGGCTGTATTTCAGAAGGAATCAGTTAAGTTATAGACCATCATCTTAGAACCCATGCTGTAAGTTTAGCATCCTATGTTAAATACTCTATCCATCGTCTTAATATTATTGAAAATCTTGATGTACCTCAATCTGCCTATTTAGAAACAGTTGATGTGGAATCTCTCTATAATTGCATTCCACATAACAAAGGAGTTGCTGCGGTCAAACATGTTCTGCCGCAATGTGGAACGCATGAATGGAGATTTAATTAATTTATTTTGACTATGCTTGATTTTATTTTAAGTCATCATGTTTTTTTTGTTTAAAGGCTCCCACTACCTCCAGGTACAGGGCATGGCTATGGGGGCTTGTTGTGCTCCTTCCTTTGCCAATCTGTAGCTGGGGGTGTGGGAGCAAGATTTTCTGTCCAATGAGTCTCTCTCTGGATATACACAACATATCATCTGGCAAAGATATATAGATGACATATTCTTTGTCTGGGATGGTCCTGAAATGTTATTGAAACAATGAGTTGATGTGATGAATCAAAATTATTCAAATCTTTTTTTTTTTTCACTATGACCTATGGTCAAGAGAAAATCAACGTTTTGGATATTAATAACTCGAAGGCAATGGGGGGGGGGGGGGGACGCCTGAGGAGTAGTCTCTTCAGGAAAGAAACTGCCGGCAATACAATTCTGCATGCCAATAGTTTCCGCCATTAAAGAGATCCATTCCATATAGTCAGTTTCAGCGCATTAAACTAAATTTTACAGATTATTGTGTTCCAGAGAGAGGCAGATGAGCTTACTAAACAACTGTTAGCACAAGGATATACAAAAACAGGTCTTAAAAAGGCTTTCAATCGTGTAAAAAATTTGGATAGGCATGATCTTTTGTTTAATTCTAAACATCATAAAAAAAATGACCAAGAGGAGGTTAAGGTCATTTTGAGATACTCTAATGAACATGTGAAAATAAGAAAGATATTATCACTGGTCTGTCCAAGCAGAAGACCCAACTATTGGAAAATTGGTGGGTAAGAACCATTCTATTACCTATAGAAGGGCAGTGTCCCTAAAGGATTCCTTAGTACAAAGTGAATATAAGGGGGATCAGAGATGTGATCCATGCAAACATTTTGGCACTTTCCCTTGTGGAGAATGTGCATATTGTTGCTTACTTACTAACAAAAAACAATTTATTCTTCCGAATGGAGAAAATTTTGTTTCTAAACACTTGTAAATTGCCAGACTAAAGGGATAGTATACCTTATGTTATGTGAATGTGGATCTTTCTGCGTAGGCAAAACACATCAGGAATTTTGGAAACGCATTTATAAACAAGTTCATGCTATGAGGATACGCAATCTTTATTTACCCTTGGGAAGGCATGTTGCCAAATTCTATAAATATAGGATGCCTAAGGTGACCTTTTTAGCTCTTGATAGAATACATGTCCCTATCAGGGGAGGCGACTGGAACAAGACACTACTCCAGCAAGAAATGCGCTGGATTAAGTGCCTTGCTGCCACTCGCCATCCTGGTCTAAACAAATATGAAAACTATAGACCTTTCCTAGAGAGATTTGCCTATGGTAAAACAGATTGAGAATTTACTCAACAATGTCCTCCTATTTAATGCTTCAATAATATCTCCCCATAGGGAGACTTTCAAATTTTGTCTATGCTGCAAGGATCTCTTTTCAATAGTATTTGTTGTATTTTCCTTTAATACATATATATTTGTCAGGGCAGGGCTGTGGAACGGACAGGTAGGCCTAGTGGCAGGGTAACGCACTGGCTGACGACAACCACCACCAACAGACCGAAGTCCCTCAGGGCACGGAGTCTAAGTCCCAGGCTGCCCTTCACCAGGGCCCCTGATGGTGGGGATGGACTTGACACAGCCAGGAACCAGGTCGCAGCCCCCGAGACACCCCGGCTGCGGTAATGGCCACCGCCAATGGCGTGTAGCTGGTGAGAATGACAATAGCGTAGTCAGGCAGGCCGGGTCGACAACAACGGGACAAAATGGTACAGAACAGTAGACAGAGAATCACAGGTCACGGGCCGGGTTCAGCAACGGAAGGTCAGATCGAAGGAGAACACAGAGAATGGTCTTAGTCACAAGCCGAGTCAGATACCAGAAGAGTCACGAGCGTATACACAGAGCTGTAGCAAGACAAAGACACAAGTGCAAAGAGCATGTGCGGATCACAGGTTTATATGTACTCAGCCACCCCCCTCTGGGGGATGGACCTCAGAGACCTGAAGGCATAAAAGATTCCCACCATGCTCAGCAGAAATCCAGGATGGATGCCAGCACATGGAGTAACATAACCTCTGGGAAAAGGTAGGACCTTGACAATATTATGCTGTCCGGATTATATAGTAATTTTTACTGTTATAATTGATTTCTGTACATATCTCCTATGTAGAGGCCATGTTTGTTTTCCTTATGGGACGGTCATACATTGCCATGTCCAGCACAGAAAGGGTCACTCAATCCATTTCCAGGATGGAGGACCTGCGTTCTGGCCTTGTAGAGCAATAGAGGAAGTTGTAATTCTGTCCCCTTGCTCTCATGCGCCTTGTGTGCAGGTCATACTGTTTTGGTGTCGGCAGCGGGGGCCTCCAAGATGACTCCTGTCTGGTCTCCGGAAGTGCATAATTCCGGAGCTGAATGTGACGTCAATGTGCATAGCGTGGTCACGCATGCACAGTTGTGATGAACGCCGGGGACCACACGATGGGCGCCATTTTTTTCTCCAGCGGATGTGATCCGCAAAAGGGAGGGAATATGCACATTACATCCACATTAGACTCTATAAAAAGCCCTAACTGGCATTATCAGACACAGCTTTCAGCATCTAGCCTGACTTTGGGAGACCCCTTAGAGGGTCATGACTCGAATAACAAAGCAAAGCTCCTAGTACTTAATTTGACCCCTTGGAGAAATACTACCATATTATTTTGCAGCTTGTGGTGAGATAAAAATAAAAGCTGATATTTATGCTTGTTTTTAAATTTCAGGAACTAACTATATAGTCTCTATGTTTAGTGCATTTTGCTGTCAGTTGTATCAGAATATCTACTATGGGAGATGCCAGATTTAATCTATAGGTCTTTCCCTATAAATGCTTGAGGATATATATCCCATCATCTACCGTATTTGCCGGCGTATAAGACGACTTTTCAACTCCTGAAAATCTTCTGAAAAGTCGGGGGTTGTCTTATACGCCGGTATACGGTGAGCCGGTGTGTCAGGGCGGCACTTTTTCCAGGGGCGGTGTCCTCCAACGGACACTAAGTACAGGGGTGGGCAGAGGGGCTGCTGTACCTTACCTGGCTCCGGTCCCGGTCCCACGATGATCCTTCTTTCAGTTCGGCTGCTCGATGGTCGCGCGGCCGCTCAGCTCTGCCTCCTTACCGGTGATTGGGCGCCAGCGCACACAGGCGACCAATCACCGGCGAGGAGGCGGAGCCGAACGGCCCCGCGAAAATCAAGCTGCCTAACTGAAAGAAGGAGCAACCGCTCCTCTCCCCCACTGACACTAACGATGGGGCACTATTCCTCCTCCACACTGACACCAATGATGGGGCACTATTCCTCCTCCCCACTGACACCAATGATGGGGCACTATTCCTCCTCCCCACTGACACCAATGATGGGGCACTATTCTCCCCACTGACACCAACGATGGGGCACTATTCCTCCCCCACTGACACCAACGATGGGGCACTATTCCTCCCCCACTGACACCAACGATGGGGCACTATTCCTCCCCCACTGACACCAACGATGGGGCACTATTCCTCCCCCACTGACACCAACGATGGGGCACTATTCCTCCCCCACTGACACCAACGATGGGGCACTATTCCTCCCCCACTGACACCAATGATGGGGCACTATTCCTCCCCCACTGACACCAATGATGGGGCACTATTCCTCCCCCACTGACACCAATGATGAGGCACTATTCCTCCCCCACTGACACCAATGATGGGGCACTTTTCTCCCCACTGATACCAATGATGGGGCACTATTCTCCCCACTGACACCAATGATGGGGCACTATTCCTCCCCCACTGACACCAATGATGGGGCACTATTCCTCCCCCACTGACACCAATGATGGGGCACTATTCCTCCCCCACTGACACCAATGATGGGGCACTATTCTCCCCACTGACACCAATGATGGGGCACTATTCCTCCCCCACTGACACCAACCATGGGGCACTATTCCTCCTCCCCACTGACACAAACGATGGGGCACTATTCCTCCTCCCCACTGACACCAACGATGGGGCACTATTCCTCCCACTGACTAATGATGGGGCACTATTCCTCCCACTGATACCAATTATGGGGTGCTATTCCTCCCACTGACACCAATGATGGGGCATGATTCCTCCCACTGATACAAATGATGAGGCACTATTCCTCCCACTTACACTAATGATGGGGCACTATTTCATCCACTGACACCAATGATGGGGCACTATTCCTCCCACTGACACTAATGATGGGACACTACTCCTCACACACTGACACTACTGATGGGGCACCATTAGTGTCAGTGGGAGGAATCATGCCCCATCATTGGTGTCAGTGGGAGGAATAGCACCCCATCATTGGAATACCATACTGAAATACCATACCATATTGAAATCAAATCTGATGTTTTTTCATTTTTATTTGGTGTGCGTTGGAAGAGGGGTAGTCTTATACGGCGAGTATAGCTCAAACCCTATATTTTAACAGGAAAAGTAGGGGGTCGTCTTATACGCCCAGTCGTCTTATACGCCGGCAAATACGGTATATAGTTTTGTATTATCTCCCCATTAATATTAGACAAGGGGATATGGAGTTTTACAAACTCATTCCCACCTTTCTATTTGTATTGATGCTGCTTTGTACCCCTAATATATCATATTTTATTACATCTATAAATACTTTGTTATGACAGTGTTTGTGATGTGGCATCATCCGTGGTCCTTGCCCGTCAAAATAATGGCCTCATTTTTGGAGGAAGCTCACAGTGAAACATCTTTCTTTGACTACTTGTGGTGGTTATTTAGGTCATACTGTATACCTCATATGGTTTGTTTTACTATTAACATAATTACAAAGGTATTTACTGATAATTGACCATTAATTATGGTTATAGAGTGGTATCTTATCCCTGAGGAAGAATTTATGTCAGTACATTCGAAACATGTTGGATCCCAGGCTGAATATATCTGCAGTCAAAATCTGAGGTTGCAAGATGAAAATCAGCTTTTGGGGATAACACTGGCATATGTATTGTACAACTACAATTCTGTGAAGTGAATGAGTTGTTAAAATTGCTGTACTCTGTATTGGCGAACATGCTATGTCTATTGTGTATGTGCTGATTTGAAAAACAAAAGAAATTTGTTTAAATAAAATTTTGACTTTTAAATAATTGGTTTCTTTATGTACAATTTAAGAATCCCATTAAATGTAAGATACAGTTCTCTCTATTAGGTCAACAAGTGTTTATACTGTGGCTATGTGAGAATAAAGGAGCTAATATAAGGAGCTTACAGCATTTCTGGAATTCAACCTGCCACGTTAGGAAACTCTCTGTATTCAAAAAAGAAAAAAAAAAAATGCTGCTGTCTGTCCCGAAAGAGTGAGGCAAAGGTAAGGTGAGTGACATTTCAGTTGGTTGTGGAACTTCTCACATATACTGGGTGAAAAGAGAAGTTTTATATTATCAGGAAGAGCTAAATAAACACTATGAATACTATCTCCATTGTGAAGCATGGTGGTGGTTTACTGATGTTCTGTGGGTGTGTGAGCTCTAAAGGCATGAGGAATCTCGTGAAAATTGATGGCAAAATGAATGGAGCACGTTATCAGAAAATACTGGCAGAAAATTTGCATTCTTCTGCATGAAAGCTGCGCATGAGGCACGCTTAGACTTTCCTGCATGACAAAGGCCCTAAGCACAAGGCCAAGTTGACCCTCCAGTGATTACTGAAAATGTTGAAGGCTCTCGAGTGGCCATCACAGTCTCCTGACCTTAATATCATCAAGTCACTCTGGGGAGATCTCAAATGTGCGGTTCATGCAAGACAACCAAAGATTTTGCATGATCTGGAGGCATTTTGCCAAGATGAATGGGCAGCTATACCACCTGCAAGAATTTGGGGCCTCATAGACAACTATTACAAAAGAATGATGTCATTGATGCTAAAGGGAGAAATACACAGTGGTAAAACTAAGAGGATGCAGACTTCTGAACAGGGGGCATTTCATTGGTTTACTTGTAGCCATGTTTTGTTTTATGATTGTGCCACTTTGTTACGACCTACAGTTAAACATGAATCCCATAAAAAATAAAAGAAATGTGTTTTGCCTGCTCACTCATGTTTTCTTTAAAAATGGCACATACCCTACCAATTCTCCAAGGGTATGCAAACCTCTGTATACACACCCACCCAGTAAATGTATACAGTGTGTGTATACACATATATATATATATGCACATACATACATACACACAGTCCTGTCAGCATATTCCTTGTCAGTACATCTGAATGTAGCACACCTGATTGGCCCTAAGAGCTGCAGCTCCAGTTTCCATTCAGACAGCTGCTGCACAAGGAAATATAAGAGGCTGAAATCAATTATTTATACTATTTGAATTTATAATATTCTTCATGACTTTGTAATAAAATCATAATTCCATTTATAGGCTTTTAAAAAAAATCTGCTTAACCCTTTCACTGCCAAGTCCTTACATCGAACAGACCTGACAGCAGGAGGGGGGTTATACACAATCCAGTGACTGTAGCCACCTGTATTGTGTCTAAAACTGACAGCCAGACTCCTGCCTGTCAGTTGGAAGCAATTGGAGCATTGTTTGGGGGTTTTGTCTCGTCTTTAGACCTGAAATATTTTTTTTAAACGTGTGCAAGAGAATGCAAAAATGGCTCTTGCAGCAAAAGGATTAAAGTTCAACCTTTAGAGATCCACAGAAAGAGACAAACACACGTAAAAACAATCACAAAATGCTCACACATTGTTCGAGGACACTAATATACTCGGCTGCTGAAGCTGGGTTATTTTATCACTGTGTTTTACCTGAGATCCACAAAAGAGCAGCTACTTTCAAACTCCAGGCCATCACAATCCTCGTAGATTTTATTGGCCGTCTCTGGGGAGTCGCATTCTACCACGGCATAGAAGTACTTCAGCCGCTTGAATTGATATTCACGCAACTTCTCCTTATAAATTCTGAAAAGGACAAAAATCAATCTACTAAGGGTGTGCTACTTCCAAAGACAAAACATAGTTAACTTTATTTTTAATTGAACCACAAATTACATAGTGCCATAAAAAAATACAGCCCTCTCCCATTTCTGTCAGATATATTCTTACAAAAGTGAGGGAAAGGAAACCTCTACTGAGAGATGTATTGGGGGTTAGTTGCCATTACTAACCAAAAAAGTTTCTAGTCTCAGGTCAGCAAACACATGACCTGGAACAAGCATGTAGATTAAAAAGTCCGAGTGACCTCAGAACTCCTGATGTTTGTGTGAACTGGGTCACTGACTCAAAGTGCTAAAGCCACTGGAATACAATTTTCATAAGGAAAGGTTAGCAATGACCACTTCCATATTCTCTCAGTACAGGTGTTTGATAAACCCATCATGAGAATAGTATGCAGCCAATGATGACACTGTCAAGAAAAGCTAGTTTCTTAATAATGTTCTTCCTATTTTAATATTTTCTGTGTCATGAACCTAAAACAAGTATACTAATCAGAAATGAAAGTCACTGCTGGCCAGAGTGCCTCAGAGAAGAGGCTTTGTGGAACCAGTCACACAGCATGTAGGAAGACTGCCATAATGAAGACTAGGATAAGTATTTCTTTACGCCTAAACCTAATGTGCATTTACTTTGTGTATGGGAGGGCCCACTGCAAGGGTGTTTTTTTGTGTAATTATTGCAGTTCTGCTTTAAGAGAAAACCATTAACCCTATTACCTTCAATCTGCAGATTTACAGTGCCCATGCAAACAGAATGTTAATCTATGTTTCATTTCTGAATTTGGAGTGCGCACCGATGCATACTTCTAGTCTGAGACTGGCAGCTGTCCATGACAGCAGAGTCTCAGACTAGTGAAAGGAAACCATTCAGCATTGGTAAGCAACATGGCAGCTAAACATAGCGATCACAGGAGGTTTGTTTACAAAAGTTTTACAAATATGATCCATTTTTCAGCTTATAATATAAAAAAAAAAACATGAACAGGGAATTTATTAAAACATAGTCCAAAGCCTCACAGAAACTTAAAATAAATATTATTAATTGTAAAAAAAAACATTAGGTAGGCCCTGAGCCAATCAAATCGGCACATACCAACACTGCTAAATTTGGTTCAGACATTGAGGCTTTAATGACCCCTGGTCAAGAAGAGCCTAAATCAATAGCTTGTTATACACTATCTTAAAGAACGTCTATGAAAATGAATTACGGCTTAGTTCAGAAAACCAAGGGTTACTGGCTACCATTGCTCTATTCATACTATGGGGATGACTGAACGCTAAACTGGCTTTGGAGGCGGATGGTCAGTATCATTAAAAAAGATGATTAATAGCTGGCTAGACAAATAGTACATAAAACGTGTCCATAAAACTACACGACATTTACAAGTCTTACAAAATACAGCAACATTAAGCTTCATATTTCTGTCGGCAGCACCCTACTGTGCTAATTACTGGGGTACAGCTGCTTTCTATTACAGGCAGAATGTTTCCTCTACGTGCAGTGTTAAAGAACGCTTGTACTTAAATGGCAAACAAATGCTGTGAAGGCGGAGGTTGAGCAGCTATGGATCATAATTTTTCTTTCCAGGACAAAAAATTAAGTCTAAACTTTAGGGCTGGTACTTGTCCTGTACGCTTCCATCCCCTTTATCATCATGGCATAGCATCTGGATAAGGATGTGAAAGTGTTGGAAGTGGAGGCAAGTTACCAGCAACAGGATCAGCAAAACTATGCTCTATGCTGGTGAGAGAGATTCTGATTGTAAAGTTTGAGTCAGTACAGGGAGCAATGCCAATGCCCGTCCGCCGTAAAAAAAAACAACAAAAAAACGAACTTGTCACTGGGGGCAATTCGCTAATATGACATTGGGCTAAGGCTTGACAGGCTGAGTTGTCATCATTAAATCTTTCCAATTCAGACTTACCAAGAGATGAACTGTGCAATAAGGGACATCATCAGCGTGAATCAGTAAGCTAACCTGTATGGGTGAACGGGCTTCACGTCACTCTTCCAAAATACTCAATACTCCTAAAATATACCTGTCAGGATAAAAATATAGAAGCTGCTGTAGCTGACTTGTCTTTCAAGGTGCAGGTTTCAGGGCTGTCATCCTTAGAACCTGACTTCACTGCTCAAGGAATCACTCTCTCAACCTGTTGTACACAATCTTGGTCCAAACAAGTGGAAGCCTATTACATGCTCCATGCTCCCTCAAAAGGTAGAAATGGCAGCTCCCATAAGCCTATCCTGACACGTTCTCTTGAAACCAAGATATCTGAAAAAATAAATGAGTGTAGTGCCTACCTTCCCTAGCCACTTTCTTTGTAGCATTTTGCTTTCCTTAGTTTTACAGGTGACCTTTAGAAAGTAGATCACATACCCCTGATCTTCTGCAACATCTTCTGAAACATTCTTCAACTCCGAGGGTCCGTGAAGTTCTTCTTTCGTCAGTCTTTCCTTTCCAAACTCTGAGGGATAAATCTGAGGGATTCAACAGTATGGTTACTGAAAAGTTAAGTTCACTCTTTGTGTGATTTCAGTTTTTCATTCTTCATTTACAGTATCAGTGCTATTTGAAGTGTATGTATAGCCACAACCTTTTTTTTCCAGTTCTGGGTAAAGTAAGAAACCATTAGAACCACTGTTTGGTTTTTATTGCTGTTTATATCCCCAATTAGAAGATTTGCCATCTCTCTATACCCTGATGATCTAACATTTTACAGCTGGCAATGGAAAATGAAGTGAAGGGACATCTTACAATGTGGATACCTCTTTGGATGATAACTGGCTATGGGAACCTTTCCTGTCTTTGGAGAGATTTCTAGCTACCCCATTATATTTCTGGTATAGGACGTAAAGGGAGGGAATCTCTCCCAGGAGACTACATCCCTTCAATCAGAATTGAAAATTAACCCGTAAAATCTGCAAAAAGGGGTACAGCATGCCTGGGCAGGGTTTAATTATTGTGGCAAAGTTGTAGGTGCCCAGGCCACTACACTGCTTAAAAATGTCTAGCTGCAGGTGATCTTGTGTTTTGGAAACACCAGTTGCCAAACCACAAGAATTTGAAAGTCCTGCCTACTTAAAGAACCTTTCCATTTCTAAAGTAGAAACAATAAAACTGTCCATTGCACAGATTTATGTGACAAATGATGTGGTCTGGCCCAAAACCACAGCAAACTACAACTGAAGTCTTCTCTGCCTAGCATTAGAACTCAATAAAACTTGATTGTACGAACAACAGCCCAAGGCAGGCCCATACATTACGCAATTTTCTTTCAACCACAGGTTGAACAAAAGAAAATTGCTTGATTCCCCCATGAACAATGAATGTGTGAATCCCTCCCGCAGCACATTTGTGTTCTACTGGTAGAGAGCCTTCCCCACAGGCAAAATATAATGATCACTGCTGGCGGTTACAGCCACCAACAGTGATCACAAGGAAAAAACCTAACAGGCTGGTTGTTGTTCCTGCTGAAATGGTTTAATTTTGATTTGTCTATGGCCAGCTTTAAAGCTGAAGTCTAAGCTAAACAGAATTGATGACACACAAACGACGTGTACCCGTATTCGAATATTGTGATCCTTTGTGCATTTTTTCCCGTACAGTAATACAGTTTTTATGGCCACAGTTTAGCTTTACCAAACAATGCAATGCAGCGTGTTAAATCAATTACTGTACACCTGGTTTCCAGCATTACTGGCAATTGTGTTAAAAACAGAAAGTTTGCTATATGTATCCAGGCATTGTTGTGGTGCCCCAGTTTGCCCTAGTACTTTCTGTCACAAATCTGGTGATATGAGAACCCCTGCTTGTTATGGAGGAGAGCTATTCTGACACACCCACAGGAAACAGTAGATCTAAAGCACAGACTGTGTCATCTATCTTCAAATCCTATAATATGTCAAGCAGTTGTTCTTGAATTTGACACTGAAAGCAAGCCTGAACCAAGACAAATATATAAGCATCAATTTCTGACTTCCTTATATGTAAATGATAATTACTAGTGGTGCACCGAAATGGAAATTCTGGTGCCGAAACCGAAACTTCAAAATGCACTTTAAATTAAAAAAAAACAAAATATACCCCAATTGTTTTGTATAATATGCAAGAGGATGTTACGGTGAGTAAATCAATACCCAACATGTCACGCTTTAAAACTGCGCACGCTTGTGGAATGGCATGAAACTGCGGTACTTAAAAATCTCCATGGACGATGCTTTAAAAATTTCTACAGGTTAGCAGTGTAATGTTACAGAGGAAGTCTAATGAAAGAATTATTGCTCTTGCTCCGATGTTTGTTGCGATACCTCACGTGTGTGATTTGAACACCATTTACATATGTGGGCATGGCCTACGTATGCGTTCAGCATTACGTGCGCACGGGGGGATGGGGGCACTTTAAACTTTTTTTTTTTTATTTATTTAATGTTTTGGGGGTTTTTTTTGCACTGTTCCTTTTAAAAAAAATTGTAATCACTTTTACTGGTATCACAAGAAATGCATGCATCCCTTGTGATAGGAATAATTAGTGACAGGTCCTCTTTATGGAGAGATATGGGGTCAATAAGACCCCACATCTCTTCTCTGCAATGTAAAGCATTGGATCAAAAAAGCACTGATCTAGTGCTTTAAAAAAAAAAAAAATGGCTAGAACCGACATTGCTCCGGTCCTCCAAGGGCACAGAGATGTGTGGTGGCCATCTTTCCTTCATCCATCTCTATGCCCAGCCCTGGGATTGATGGTTTCTCAGGTAAGACTGAATTATTAAGCGGCGGCCGGCAGGGAAGGCGACAGTGAAGGGCGGGGTTTTTTCGGCACCCGTGTCAGTGCTTTATTGCATTTTGGCCGACAGTCGAACCGTTTTTGGCCAAAACGTTTCAGCCACCAGAATTTCGGTGCATCCTTAATAATTACAACAGTGCCCTTTGTATTTCTCTCTTAAATGTGCAACCTTTGCCAGCCCAGCAATCATAAAACCAATCTGTTAAAGGGTATGTAAACCCCAACAATTAACTTCTTTTATCTGCTCCATTTAAAAAAAAAATCTACCTGTTGATCCTGTCAAAAATCTAGTGAGCTGATAACTTCCATTGTTCCTTCCTTACAGGAAGGCACAAAATAGAGCTCTCTCCAACCTACAGAAACCCTACCCCATTATCAAAAGAGAAGCGGAGAGAGGTGTTCTGTAATCTTAACACACTTTCTGTCATAAGGGTGACAACACTGCTCCTTCACATATATAGTAAAGTGAGTGACTCTAAGACAGAAAGGATATTACTGGCAGGATCACCAGATGAAAAACAGGTTAGATGCACTGTAATCATAAATTATACCATTCTTAATGCCTTACCTTTACAGAGAAAACAATTCCTCCTTTCGGCTTAAAGGAGTTAAAGAGTGCAAGTAAGTCTTTAGCCTTCAGTCTGTCCCAGTCCATATTGCACACAGCCAGCCTTTTGGTTATCTGTTGCATTTAATAAAAATATGGATTTTTATTAACAAAGGAAAATAGAAATACAAGATGTCAACTAACAGACCAAACATAACACTGCTGGATGCTTCTGTTAAAACCAATTTATGTGCTCAGTGACAAGGCTGACTTATGTATCTTAATTCTATAAGCTAGCATTTTAACTGCTTTCAAAAAGAACAATGATCCATTCTCATCACCAAAGAATGTTACTATCTGAGATACCATCACTATACATACAAGCACATAATGTACTTGGAAACATTTGTGTGAAAGACTAATAACTTATTTGTATGTTTTTGGATATTAGGGGAAAAAAAAAGTACTCAAAGGAAACCCACAAATGAACTGTATGAAAAACATAATCAAGCTCCATGCAAATAGGGTCCTTGATGGGAACAGAGCCCAGGCAACAGTTCTTCAAGGCAAGAGTGCTAAACACCTAATCTGGCCATGGAAGAATCGAAATATGGCCAGTCCTGAAGGGTCCAGCTGAATTTTGATCCATCTATGGCTGTTTCTGTTCAACAGAATTTGACATAACAATTGACTTCTGTTGAACGGGATGCTGGGAAATGTTTCATTCGATCAGCTGCTGCAGCACTGATCAGTGTATTCTGACAACAGAGAAGTCCCACTATCAGACTATGATAGCACAGCAGGAAGGATACCTCCATCCTTCTCACTTGTGTGGATGGGGGAAACAGTTGTTTTTTCCCCCTCAATCAGCATACTGGATGATCAAAAAAGAAAAAGAAAACTACCCATCTATGGGCAGCCTAATCACAGCCCACAAAAAGCTGTATTTTTAGTAATTACCTATTGTTTTTAAACTTAGTTTATTGTGTAAATGACACGCATAGGATTATCAATTAAAGTACTGGGGCATTGAGACTTGTGTTACATCAGGACAAACAATCAAAATAACCAAAGAAATTAAACATACAAATTATTAACAAGTATGTCTCCCCTACTAATAGTAATTGCTAACAATGCAAATGTCACAAAAAATGCATTTTGGGCTGGTCATTTATTTCCCTGGGCATCCCTCGGCATATGATGGGAGTAAGTGTTGTTAAAAGTGAGTGCTGGTGAAGGCTCCACAACTCCCAAATTTTTTGGCATTTAAAGCGGAGTTCCAGTTTCATCTGCTGTCCTGTGTTCCCGGCACCGGCATCTTCAGTGTGGGCACACAGCTATGACCGCTTGTGGCTTCACAGCCGGGTGCCCACTATGCATGCAGAAGTAGCACTGAGCTTTCTGAATGGTCCGTAGTCTTCTGGGACCGGTCATGTGTCCCAGAATACTACAGGGAGGGGGAAGGACAACTTCCACTTCTGATCGCCTAGACGATCACAGCGGATGTGGGAACCTGTCAATTTTCAGGTACCTGCTCCCTGCCTGCACCCCAAAAGTGCCAATCCTTAACGGGGAGCGGGGGACCAGTCCTTAAAGCTGAACTTCCCCTTCTGGGTGGAGCTCCACTTTACGTAAAGTATTTCTGTTATAGATAATCTTCTCATCCATGATTATTTGGTTGACTGATGAGATCACTGAATCAGCATAGGAGAGCTTACTGAATCCACCAGAATGCTGAAGAGATATATTACTGGGGTGCATGGTAAAGAAACAGATAATAAAGAGGTAAGCATAGCAACCACCCTTTTCATTGTTTCTGTTCTTCTGGTAGTTAAGGTGTACTTCCATCCCAGTTTCATTTTCTATATTATAACAAATAAATCCAACAGGGAGAATGAGACATCCTGAAAATGGCCACCGCAGGTATGCAGAACCAAGGGCCGAACCAAGAAATCTCTCAAGTCGAGACCCCAAAAGACTATGGGGGGGGGAATACATTAAAGCTGCTACACCACTTTTCTGACATTAGTCCCTCTCATTAAGCTATTGCACCATATTTATTCAGCATTTGTGACACTTATGGTTTTGACAGCGACTCTTGCTCCAAATTCAGGTAGTTTTAAAATGCCCCACTTTAACATTGTGGTGCAATGAATGCGCCAATTTCAGAATAAAGGACCAACAGTTCATATCTTACATAAGTGGCACTAATTAAGACCAACTCTCTTTTGGCATACAGGGCTACATTCACTAAAACATTCCGCATGAGGTATTTAGGTGATCTAACACATTTTTCCCAAATATCTCATGAGATAATGAAAATGTCAATTCACTATCACTGTATTTACCAAAAAAAAAAACAGTTGGTAAATACCTCATAAAATGGCATTAAAGTCAATTTACTAATGGAAATAAATAAATGCATGAGTTAATTAAAGTAGTGGTCCACGCATGCGGTATTTAACCACTTGCCCTCCAGAGGATTTACCCCCCTTCCTGGTCAGGTCCTGACCTGGCCATTTTTTGCAATACCGCGCAGCTTTACTTTAACTGACAACTGCGCGGTCATTCAACGCTGTACATAAATGAAATTTAGGTAATTTTTTCACACAAATAGAGCTTTCTTTCGGTGGTATTTGATCACCTCTGTGGTTTTTATTTTTTGCGCTATAAACAAAAAAAAAAAAAGACCGTCGATTTTGAAAAAAAAAACAACAATATTTTTGACTTTTTGCTATAAAACATATCCAGTAAAAAAAATGTAATCAAATTTCGTCATAAATTTAAGCCAAAATGTATTCTACTACATGTCTGTGCTAAAAAAAATCCCAATACGTGTACATTAATTGTTTTTTGTTGAAAGTTATAGCATCTACAAATGGCGGTATATATATATTGGAAATTCTATTTTTTTATACTAGCAATGGCTTGCGATCAGTGACTTATAGCGGGATTGTGGCGGGCATTCTGACACTGGGTGGGAACTTGTGTTCTGATGTCAACCCAAAATGTGGCAATTTCTTTTCCTATCACTTTCGGTGATAAGGAGAAACAGTAACAATAGAAAGAGTGAAACTTCCTAATGGGGGCACAGACAGCAACCAGCAACTACAAAAACTGAGGTATATACTGTGTGTGTATATACAGTATATATCAGTTTTCTGTAGGATGTTCACTTTAAAGTGTACAAAATTACAAGTATCCTCCTGCGCTCAATACAGGCAAGGTCCCTATCTTAACAGCTGCTGTCACTTTACCTTAAACCATTAAGTAGCCAAATATATACTATAAAATAGTGAAGCGCTAAATAAATAAATATATATATATATATAAGGTGCCAACAGTGAGTGTAAGTGCTATAGTGTTAACAGTTCCTTGTTAAACACTGGAACATTATAACCAATAGTGTATATTAAATAGAAAAAAATCAAACTGAATCCATAATATATCAGTGATGATAAATAAATAAACAAACCAGTGACAAATAATCTTATATCTCCAAAAAATTCCTTCTTCTCATTCACTATTTAAAGTGAAGAGTGCTCATCAATAATAAAAGGTGAACACGTGTATACAAAAAAACTTTATTAAGTGCATATATAGAAAATATATATATTTTATATATATATAGTTTTTAAATAAAACCCTACCTAAAAGATACTGACCCTCGACCCTTACCTTGACACTAACCTTTTTGTTTGTTTACATCCTTCTCTCCTCCAAGGAGAGAAAGATACATTGTATCTTTCTCTACAATCAGAAGAGAAAGAAAATACAGGGGAGGGCTGCACAGTGACTGATCACTGTGATAGCCAATCAGAGTCTGTGCCTAATAGTTGTATGCACTTGGAATTACAAGGAAGTGAAGCTCTCATCAATCAAGATGTAATATCCCACCCCCATAGTGTAGAGCTGTTTAGAGAGCATGGAGGAGGAAGTATAGGGCTGCGATTTATCCAGGAGCATGCTTGATAGAGGTGGCAAAGTCTGGTCTACACCAACTCAGGCTGCAGCGGGGACACCAACAAGGAAGGAGGGACAGTGAAAAGCAAGATTAACCAGGTTTTTTGCAGAATACGAAAAACAAATTCCATAGTGACTAAGCGAGTATGAACAGCATGTAATACAGCATGTACTGACAGTTTTTTTTATGATGTGGGTTTTTAATGACACTTTAACGATCTAAAGGCTTGGGTGGTACATTATATGTTAATGCTCTTTACAGCAGCAGTCAGTCATCCCGGGAAAAAGAAACAGTGCCAGTGATGTAAACTGAGCTGTGCATGAACAAACAGACAGCAAGCCGGCAGGTAGGTGTATTCTTTTGCAGAAGAGACATGCAATAAAGAGTCTGCCTTCTTCCTTTTTCTGACAGCGGAATTTTAATTCCACTTTAAGTTTCACACAATTTTGGAATATTTAGGATGGGGCAAAAAAGGTAATCCTATTACTGGGTAACACAGCACCACATTTCTTATACCTGATCTCCCCGAGGAGCATCTTTGTCCATTTCTCTCCAATCATGTTCAATTTTCTGTATCCTTATTTGCAACGTCAGCCATATCATCGTCATCATCATCCTCCTCATCTTCAGAACTTGTTTCAATATTCCCTTTCCCTCGGGCCAGATCTGGACCACTGTCACTATCCTCTTCCTCCCCTGAGCTTGCATCATCCTCTTCCTCCTCTTCAGACTCATCACCTTGTGATTCATCCTCCTCACAATCTTCATCACTCTCCTCCTCATCTTCCTCATCAATGCCACTCACTTCAGAATCTTCCTCAGCAGAAGGAATTTCCTTGTCCTCGTCATTCTCAATTTCAAGTCCTGCAAATCAAGGTTTTTTTTTTATACATAAATCATGGTTAATAACAGATCAAGCCATACAGACTCATATGATCGTTAAAGTAAATATACTCCCAATCATTAAAATCTCATTGTTTCATGTTAATGTAATCCTAAAAGTAATTTTTGATATTTAAATATGTAACATTTCATTAAAATAAAGTCTGGTGATCCTTCTTTGAATGCAAGCCATTTCTGTTATAGGGTGACAACACTATCTCCCAAATGTTCCTATGGGTGTTCCCTTTTCATATGTTCTCCAAGCGGTCATGCTGGCACACATTGCGCAGGTATGGTCCACTTTTATCAGCAAACCCTCCCTGGGAAATTCCATGCAGCCTTCACTGGAGTACATACAGATATGAAATGTCTGCAAAACGATACAAGAGAGCAGCAACATTGATATGCAACAAAGCCTAAAAAGTGAAGACAGCATAAAAAAGGAAATAGATATCCTCTAATATATACTAGACTGATGATCCTTAGCTCCCACTAGATTACTGTGTAGATCACCACAAAAAATCATAGCCAATACCCTACCACAAATTGGGGCTGTCAAACACATTATTACACATGCAATGAAAATATGTAAAACAAAAACTAGAAAAATTTATATTTACCATAAAAATATCAAAATCATAAAAATAGGGAGTGTGCACTGCCCTGAAGGATGAAATCAATAGCAAATTGTTAACCTTGTTTCAGATACATATCTACCAACAATTATAACTAGATATCAAGTCTTTGGTCTTGCCTGCTTCTTTATAAAATAGTATGCTGTTTCCCTTGTAGAGAGCAAGATCTGAAAAACGAATCGACATATGAGATTCCTTCTTAAAATTATGCAAACCATGTATGGTGGATATTTTTTGATTTGTATGCAACATCCTTAATACCATCTTGTATTCGATGTACAATTACAATTGTTGGTAGACATGTAAACAATTTCTGCTATTGATTTTATCCCACAGGGTAGTGTATACTCCCTATTTTTTTTTTTAGATTTTGACATTTTTGTTTATTTTCATTGCATGTGTTGATGTGCTTGTCAAACTTAATTTGTGGATAGGGAACTGGCTACATAAAAAATGTAGTTGTTAACGATACCGAGTGCTTTAGCAATACTAAATTCCATTTACTTTGGGTTTACATAACAGCCCTACTTTAAAACTCTGCCCCCTATTGCCCTGCATTCAATTACTATTTTCTTAAATTGTTTTCTATGCAGTCATGTGACCGCAAAGCTCTGGTTTAGTGCAAATTTGCAGACCGACAACCAGGCTATATTCCATAGAAGTGTGACTTCACCTGCCAGCATCCACTGTTGTAGCTGTTCCTGGAGGGAGAGAGTGTTCGCTCCTATCAGCTGGTCATTTGCACGGAGCTGTCAGAGCTTTGAGGTCACGTGAGTGCATAGAAACACTTGAGAAACAAATGGGATTTACACTGCGATTCATGCTAAAATGTATGCAGGGCAATGGGCAGGCAGTATTTTAAAGTAGTTGTATTGTTCAGCTATTCCTTCTATTTTATATCCAGATAGACTAGGATTCAATCTTAAAGTGGAACTCTAGTCAGAAAATTAGGTCCTACTAGGTCGGGTCAGGCTGGCCCCTTTTGCAGGTACAGCTATGTAAAACATTACAAATAAGTGCCTATACTATTTAAAATACAGAAATACACTGTCTCACCCTGCTCTGCACATGCTCAGTTGAATTCCATTTTTAGGCACTGTGCTGAATTTGTAGAGGATCTGCGCACAGTCTAAAGATTAAGGCGGAAAAAAAACCCATTGGTTGAATAGTTTCAGAAAACAGTTACATTCTTGGCATGCCAGGAATGCTAACTGTCACATTGTGTTCTCAACCAAACTGTCAAACCATCAAATGACTGGAGTTATAATTGATCATATTTGCAGCACCACGGCAGTTGCAGATCAAACAGATAGCAGTTTCCTTGACTGTAAAGGATATGAGGGTTTAGTTCTGCTCTAACTGCTGCTCAGGACTCTGGTTCTCCAATAAAAAAAAAAATAGAACAATTCTGGAGGCCATTAACAGCACACACTAATTTTGTTGCATAATCGTTAATGTGGAATGTATGTTCCTTGCTAAAGAACATTTTTTTATCAATTGTAAGTCCTCATGATCACTGGACATTTTTACAGCAGCTGTTTTTGGCTTTTGACGGTTTTTTCTACAGCCAGTAAACTTCCCATAATGTTATCCTATATGTCCATGCACACATAGGCTGTAATCAGCATTCTTTGGCAGGAAGAAAAACCCCAGGAGTAGTGGGTTTCTAGGGGAGTTTTTTAGCTGCAAAAATGCTCTAACGCTGAAAAACATGGCAAAACACTAATGCAAAAACGCTAAAAAACACTGCGTTTTCAACATGACTTTACACAGCGAATGATACCAGTGTTATTACAACACCCAGTGTGCACGGAACCTTATGAGTAAATTTCCGTTTTAAGCTTCCAAAGTTGGAGTTGAAGTTTTTTATTAGTTAGCTGTAATAAGGGTGTATGCTACATCCAGGATTGCCGTACAACTCTTGCTATAATCCCAGTGCTGCAGCAGGAGAGCTGTGGTTCTTCTACACAGCAGTCGTCTTGTTGGCTGTCCATTCCAGATGTGTAGTGAAAGATACTATCTGGCATCAGGTAAACCATAATTAATAAAGAAATGCCAGCAAACCTGCAGCTGGAATACACTTCATCACAATTAACTATATGTTACCCAGCATGTTTTAAAAAAAATAAAAAATTTGGAGTTCTGTTTTAGGGCTCATTCACAGACCAATATCTGAAAGGGCACATATTAAACAAACTGTTTTCTAAGTTCCCTGTTCACATTGGAATGTGGGTAACAGCTGAGGAGAATTTCTGTCACTCTGAGCAGCAGTGTCACCCTGTAACATAACAAGAGTTAAAAAAAAAAAAAAAAAAAAAAAAAAAAGAAGGAAACCCTGTGCCAAGCCCATTCAAAAGCTCACAAAGGAAACTAGTGGGAACGTGAAAAGCCCTTAATGTAGCGCATTGTATTGATTTGATTCTGAAAACACAATAGTATTGGTTGCCACAAGTTTGAACCATGTGGCAAGGGGCCACTCATTACGTTTGGAGGAAAAGAAATGTAATCTCCAAACACGGAAAGGTTTCTTCACAGTGAGAGCTGTGAAAATGTGGAATAGACTCCCTCAAGAGTTGTTTCTGGCCAGCTCAATAGATTGCTTTAAAAAAGGCCTGGATTCTTTCCTAGATACACAGAATATAACTGGATACTAACATTTATAGGATTTAGAGGTAAAGGTGATCCAGGGAATATCCAATTGCCTCTCGGGGGATCAGGAAGGAATTTTTTTAGCTGCAGGATTAAATTGGATCATGCTTTGCTGGGTTTTTTTGCCTTCCTCTGGATTAACTGTGGGTGTAGGATTATAACTTTTTTTTTTTTTAATGGTTGAACTGGATGGACTTTTGTCTTTTTTTCAGCCAGACTAACTATGTAACTATGTGTGGACTCTTGCTACTTATACATAGAGCTCCCATATAAGGCAATATAAGGCAAGAGATAGTAAAACAAAGCTGCTGTCATTACAAATGTATAAAATATACCTGATTCTTCAGATTGCTCCTGTTCCATTCCTTTAATAGGTTTCTTAGCCGATGCAATTTTCTGTTTGGTCTCAAGACATTCAGGCTTTTCCTTGTTTTTTGCTTCATATAACTTATTCTCTTTGACTTTTGTACAGCCAGTACTGTTAACTGGCTCCTTGCTTGCCTTAACTTTTTTCTTTTCTTTCTGGCCTTTTTCAGATGTCTTGCTGGGTCCTGCACTGGGTTTCTGTTTTAGCTTGGCCTTCTGTTTCCCTTTCTTGGTCCCAGCTTCATTTTCAGAAGATTCTTCATCACTCGATTCTGAGAGATCATAGAAGCGCTTTAGGTCCTCTGTGGTATTGTGGTGAATAGGTCGTCCTCGTTTGTCCACTGTATAGTTTAGACTGAACCTTTTGTCATGAAACATTGATCGAAAGCGCTTGTCGATTTTTATTTTCTTGTCCTTTTCAGGCATCTCCCAAAATCTGGGATCTTTCATGACTCGGCTGAACCGCTGGTCAGTTGTGAGTTCTTTCTTTGATGACATTTTGACAGATATTAGACTAACAGACGAATAAGCTGATAATTATTTTTTTTCCACAGACCTTCAAATGATAAAAACACAAAAAAAAAAAAAAATAGTTTTAATAAAGAAGACATTTGAATACAGAAAAATAAACATCTTATCAAAACAAACCAATTTAATTAGTAAGCCTACTGTGTATTTTACTTTTGGCCCACTTCCCAAAGAAATGCCCTGCTGGGTGGGAGCACTTGGGGAAGACCACTGAAATTGTCAAATGCCAGGGCATTAAAGTGGACCTAAAAGAGAAGTTTGGGTTAAAAAAAAAAATCATATTCACCTATGTCTATCCCACTGGCTCAAAGACCAAAGACTGAGCAATCAAATGACCACTGATCACTCAGTTCTTGGTCTTCACTGAACAGAGACTGGTGACTTAGTCACTGGCCCTCTGTTCTGCCCCTCCAGCACTTACTGGAGCACTGGGCTGTGGAGGAGCAGGAATGGCTGGCTCAAGTTCTCGGTGGTGTACTGAGAGTCTGAGCCAACTGCCAGACAGACATCTGGCCAGATCCCAACATAATTTTTGGTATTCCTGCAGAGCCTGGACTTGCTCTGTGATGTCAGCTGACAGCAAGTCACAGGAATATGGGTCAAAGGAGTGCAGAACTAAGTGCATTCCTTTGACCCACAGAGGTGCGGCCAAAAGAGCATTGGCTATGCTTCTCCCTTAAAAGAAAAGTATGGGATCTTTTTTTTTTTTTTAAATCATACTTACCCAAGTAGTTCCTGCCAGCTCTAAGAGTGAGAACTCAGCGTTCACATGACCGCTGATTTCTCACAGACGCTCTGAACAGACAGCAGTGACTGTCAAGTCACTGCTCTCTGCTCTGTCCCTTCCTCCTCCACGCTTACTGGAGTCCTGGGCTGTGGAAGGGGAGGGAGCTGTTGGCTCAAGCGGGTCGCTGAGAGGCTGAGCCAGGTGCCACTCCAGACTCTGGGGTGCATCCCAACTTTAAAGTCGGGATTCTTCCCTAGCCTGGGCCGGCTGAGTGACGTCAGCTGAAAACAGGTCACAGAAGTTCAGAACTATCTGCACTCCTGTGATCCATAGAAGTACAACCAAAGAGTTCTGGTTGTAATTCTCCTTTAAAGGAGGTTTATGTTCACCGCATACTTTCATTTTATAACATCAGCATTGTAATAATACAAACCACAGATATATTCCACCATCCAAACTAAGCTTACTTTAGAAATCTCTTTTATGTTGTAAATTGTGCCCGTCTGCTGGCCATCTGGTCCACCACTTTCTTGATGCCAAGCATGCTTTGCAGATTCTACACTGCTTTTTACTTTCAATTTCCAAGGACTAAATGTCCCACAGTACATTGCTGCCTGCAAGCAGTGATTCCTGTACTGACTCCACCTCTTGAAACACCTATCAACACTTTTGAAATTCAGAAAGCAGGCTCTGTGAAATGTGTAACACAGCAGCGCCTACGCACAGGGCATAATAAAGACGTGTCAATTCACAGAAAATATGTTAGATTGTTCGGGTTAGTAGGAGTAGGCTATAAATAATCAAAATACAATGTGGAAATGAATATATAATTTTTTTTCACTTTGAACACAGAAACTTTAACTCAAAAAGTGAAGATTTCCTATTTTAAAAGAAACATCAAAAGATGCTAATTGTGACTATGCAGCTCTCTGAAAAATCTAACTTTTGCCTTGAATTTCTCAAAAAAAAAAAAAAAAAAAAAAAAAAAAGCTGTGTACAACCTACAGTGTGACTACTATTACTGTTCTGCTATGCATCTACAACGTGAAATCATCTAATGCACTGCTGACTGCTAGACTGACAAAATCTGAAGTGGTGATGTCACTGCTGTGCTACTCACTATTCTGAGGATTTGCTGGAGAGAAAGTTGAACCAGAAAACCTACAATACTAGGATCTACCTGTTTGCACTACATTCATTCTGTGTTTGGCACCTCCATTGCTGTTTCCTGATCTTGATCATCACTCCATCAGTCATCAGAGGGACAGCTCTGACATGAGGAAGTAAAGCCCTGATCCTCTACCAAAATAGCCATCTCCACCCACAGACACAGTGCAGAACAACACAAGGAAAGTCATTAAAGTCGATTTAAAGCCACAAATAGCTCCTCTGCAACGATCTGACTTTCTTCATCAGCATCTTCTCCCTGGATTCTTCCAGGTGTCAGGTCTTTAGCCATCACAGGCCAACACAGGCTGATGTAACTCCTATGTATGCACAGACGTTCATTCACCTTGGCACATAGGCACTATGCCGGGGATGTATCTTGTGCGGCATCTGTGTAGCTCAATGTACATTGAAAAGAAAAATGCAAATTGGCAGGTATGTTTATTTTACTGCAGAAGAGACATTGTATGTCTCACGCTTGCAGTCTGCTGTTCTCCCCCTTAGTTTCCGCTTTAATGAGAAAATGACCGTTTGTCCTCTGCTTACCATTTTTGGTCACAGTATCTACAGTACAGGTCCTCTTTATAGTCACCAATGGCTGCAGACCAGCCTTTCTCAACCGGGGTGCCTAGATACCCTGGTGAGCTGCCTGAGGTCATCAGGGGTGCCGCCTCATCCTGGTTGAGAAAAGCTGTCAGATGAGATTAAGCTGCTGATCATCAGCCAAACCGTACATAAGCGCTGAAGGAGCTCAGACAGCTAGCAAATGCACTCTACAAAGTGAAAGTAAGGAAGGGGCAGGTGTCTTCCCTGACATTCTAACAGTGGTGTGTAGACTTTTTATATCCACTGTATGTGTGTGTATATCTGTGTGTGTATATGTTTATATGTATGTTACTTTTAATCCTCTCTATTCCTATACCATCAGAACTGCTTTTTTAGGGCTTTTTTTAGGGCTTGTTTACAATAGCAGTAAGGATTGCTGCTCCACTGAAAAGCAATCCATGTTAAGATTGCTTTTCAGGGGCATCTGACAGGCAGTGAAGAGGAGATATGTCATCTCCTCACCACCTGTTTTAACCTCCTAAATGCAATATCACCGTGCTGAAACTGCGTGTAATGTACACAGTTGTGGTGCAAGTTGCAGTGCAGCCCCATTCACCCAGGGCATATACTTCCAGCCACGGCCAAAGTATGTGTACACCCCCAGCTGCTGCCTCTGCAGCTAAAATGGAAGCAGTTGGGGGTGGTAAAAATGGCTCCACCAAGTGGTTTTACCATCCCCCAACCTCACATCTGTGCGGCTGCATGCTGCATGTAGGGCAGCAAATTCATTCCACAGAAAAGCAGGAAAAGTCATCCTGTCCATTTTTAAAATCGCATCACACCAAAACCACACTGCGTTTCCCTGCACATCTGCTAAAGAGCAGCACATTTGTCTGCATGCCAGGAATGAGTACGCTTTTGTGTTCTGCCACACACAGTAATTTGAACCATGTCTTAGACTGGGGTGCTGAAAATATTTTCCAAGTGCGCCCTGACTGGAAAAAGGTTGAGAAACACTGCTGCAGGCATTGGCAAGATGCAGCTTGCTTGTGCTTCAACAGGAATGTAATTGTATAAAAAGCATAGCCCACCTTTCTGACCAAGTTACACTCATATTTAGGGTGGTTGCATTTCCCAACCCCCAACCTTTAGCATGGCTCCACCCACACAGTTGCATCATCCAGTCACAGGATCTGTGAATGGAAAGACTACAAGTCCCATCTTCCACTGCAGCACAGGGACTCACATCGCAGTGGAGCACAAGTACGGTGGTGCCATCACAATTTCTGTAGTAAATTGTTTCCTTCCTCCAGGCCCATAATGGTTGGTCAGTATCTCAATACGGACTTGGGACTGGTATGTAAACAATGTGGGAGCCTGTGCATTGCACCGGTGATGTACTGACTGCGGATACAATGCTCTGTTGGCTCCAATGGAAAAATTTAACAAGTGCACATTTTTTATTTTATTACTGGGGTGCATGTATTAAAGTAGAAGAAAAGACTGTGTCTAAATATTCTTAAAAATGTTTCCTCCCCTCCATAAATAATTTACAAATAAAGTTGCTGCCGCCCACCTCCTACTTATCCTTAACTGTATAAAAAGGCATGTGTACTTACCTAATATTAATCTGGTCCAGTCACAAGATCTCACAGCTCTGTCTCAGGGAGCAATTGACAACATCTGGGAATTCTAGGAGCGGTGACGCCACTCATAGGCTCCCAGAGCCCAGTCGTTGTCCCTGCTCCTTCCTCTCCCCTGCAGCAGCAGCTCAGTGACACAGTGGAGTCGGAGCTGCAGGATCACATGACTGGACCAGAGCAGATTACAAATCAGTAATTGTACACATCTTTTTTCATACAGGGTAGGTAGGAGGAGGTGGAGAGCGCATTTAAGAATAGATAGTTTTAGGCCTCATTAATGGGGCATTTCTGTGCTGGTAAAACATGGCCCTACAAGGGGCACAGATGTAATCACCCCATGTGAACAAGGCCTTAGGCCAGGGGTGTAAAACCTTTTGAAGAGTGAAGGCCACTTAAGTGATTTAGTAACCGGTCGCAGGCTACAATGAAATGAAATGGTTCAGAATTTCAGTTGTTTTATTTTGAAAAGCATACTGAACATTTTCCTCCTGCAGTCACTGAACGCCAGCAGAACGCATAGGAGGAGAAGTCAGATTTCAGTGATTGCAGCCAGAAGATAGGAGGTCAGAGGAAGAGGACCAGCCAGAGGATAGGAGGTCAGAGGAAGAGGACCAGCCAGAGGATAGGAGGTCAGAGGAAGAGGACCAGCCAGAGGATAGGAGGACAGAGGAAGAGGACCAGCCAGAGGATAGGAGGACAGAGGAAGAGGACCAGCCAGAGGATAGGAGGACAGAGGAAGAGGACCAGCCAGAGGATAGGAGGACAGAGGAAGAGGACCAGCCAGAGGATAGGAGGACAGAGGAAGAGGACCAGCCAGAGGATAGGAGGACAGAGGAAGAGGACCAGCCAGAGGATAGGAGGACAGAGGAAGAGGACCAGCCAGAGGATAGGAGGACAGAGGAAGAGGACCAGCCAGAGGATAGGAGGACAGAGGAAGAGGACCAGCCAGAGGATAGGAGGACAGAGAAGAGGACCAGCCAGAGGATAGGAGGACAAGAGGAAGAGGACCAGCCAGGATAGGAGGACAGAGGGAAGAGGACCAGAGGAAGGTAGGAGGACAGAGGAAGAGGACCAGCCAGAAGGTAGGAGGACAGAGGAAGAGGACCAGCCACAAGATAGGAGGACAGAAGAAGAGGTCCAGCCACAAGATAGGAGGACAGAAGAAGAGGTCCAGCCACAAGATAGGAGGACAGAAGAAGAGGTCCAGCCACAAGATAGGAGGACAGAAGAAGAGGTCCAGCCACAAAATATGAGGACAGAAGAAGAGGTCCAGCCACAAGACAGGAGGACAGAAGAAGAGGACCAGCCGCAAGATAGGAGGACAGAAGAAGAGGACCAGCCGCAAGATAGGAGGACAGAAGAAGAGGACCAGCCACAAGACAGGAGGACAGAAGAGGACCAGCCACAAGACAGGAGGACAGAAGAGGGCCAGCCACAAGACAGGAGGACAGAAGAGGACCAGCCACAAGACAGGAGGACAGAAGAGGACCAGCCACAAGACAGGAGGACAGAAGAGGACCAGCCACAAGACAGGAGGACAGAAGAGGACCAGCCACAAGACAGGAGGACAGAAGAGGACCAGCCACAAGACAGGAGGACAGAAGAGGACCAGCCACAAGACAGGAGGACAGAAGAGGACCAGCCACAAGACAGGAGGACAGAAGAAGAGGACCAGCCTGAATATAGGACAAAAGAAGAGGAGCAGCCAGAAGATAGATGTTAGAAAGTGTGAATACTACATACAGGTGAAACTCAAAAAAATTTGAATATCGTGCAAAAGTTCATTTATTTCAGTGCAGCAACTTAAAAGGTGAAATATATGAGATAGACTCATTACATGCAAAGCAAGATAGTTCAAGCCGTGATTTGTCATAATTGTGATGATTATGGCTTACAGCTCATGAAAACCCCAAATCCACAAACTCAGAAAATTAGAATATTGTGAAAAGGTGCAATATTCTACGCTCAAAGTGTCCCACTCTAATCAGCTAATTAAGCCAGAACACCTGCAAAGGGTTCCTGAGCCTTTGAATGGTCTCTCAGTCTGGTTCAGTAGGAATCACAATCATGGGAAAGACTGCTGACCTGACAGTTGTGCAGAAAACCATCATTGACACCCTCCATAAAGAGGGAAAGCCTCAAAAGGTAATTGCAAAAGAAGTTGGATGTTCCCAAAGTGCTGTATCAAAGCACATTAATAGAAAGTTATCTGGAAGGGAAAAGTGTGGAAGAAAAAGGTGCATAAGCAGCAGGGATGACCACAGCCTGGAGAGGATTGTCAGGAAAAGGCCATTCAAAAGTGTTGGGGACTTTCACAAGGAGTGGACTGAGGCTGGAGTCAGTGCATCAAGAGCCACCACACACAGACGGAGCCTGGAAATGGGCTTCATATGTCGTATTCCTCTTGTCAAGCTGCTCCTGAACAACAAACAACGTCAGAAGCGTCTTACCTGGGCTAAAGAAAAACAGACCTGGTCTGTTGCTCAGTGGTCCAAAGTCCTCTTTTCTGATGAGACAACTTTTGCATCTCATTTGGAAACCAAGGACCCAGAGTATGAAGGAAGAATGGAGAGGCCCAGCAAGATGCTTGAAGTCCAGTGTGAAGTTTCCACAGTCTGTGTTGATTTGGGGAGCCATGTCATCTGTTGGTGTTGGTCCACTGTGCTTCATTAAGTCCAGGGTCAACGCAGCCGTCTACCAGGAGATTTTGGAGCACTTCATGCTTCCTTCCGCAGATGAGCTTTATGGGGATGCTGACTTCATTTTCCAGCAGGACTTGACACCTGCCCTCACTGCCAAAAGCACCAAAACCTGGTTCAATGACCGTGGGATTACTGTGCTTGATTGGCCAGCAAACTCGCCTGACCTGAACCCCATAGAGAATCTATGGGGCATTGCCAAGAGAAAGATGAGACATGAGACTGAACAATGCAGAAGAGCTGAAGGCCGCTATTGAAGCATCCTGGTCTTCCATAACACCTCAGCAGTGCCACAGGCTGATAGCTTCCATGCCACGCCGCATTGAGGCAGTAATTGCTGCAAAAGGGGCCCAAACCAAGTACTGAGTACATATGCATGCCTATACTTTTCAGAGGTCCGATATTGTTCTATGTACAATCCTTGTTTTATTGATTGCATGTAATATTCTAATTTTCTGAGATTGTGGATTTGGGGTTTTCATGAGCTGTAAGCCATAATCATCACAATTATGACAAATCACGGCTTGAACTATCTTGCTTTGCATGTAATGAGTTTATCTCATATATTAGTTTCACCTTTTAAGTTGTATTACTGAAATAAATGAACTTTTGCACAATATTCTAATTTTTCGAGTTTCACCTGTATGTGCTGCTGGTGAGACTTTGGTGTTAGAGGACTGGAGTTCAGTAACTCATTAGAGGAGGAGGGAGGATAATGAGCACCATGTTCCCAGGACAGGTTCTCTTCTCATACACACAGTGCACCCACCTACTACAGCAAGCATTAAGAGACATGGAGGAAGGAGAGCAGACTCCTAATACACTTGTCTGCTACACACCCCGCTATAATGGGCTACAAGTCCCAGAATCCCCTGCACCAGTGAATGTTTTATCTATATATGTATATAAGTCCGACGCCGCCTCACCTCTCCTCGCTCCGCTCCCAGCAATACTCAGATATAAGCAGCAGCACCGACCATGTGTTTGTGTCCCACAATCCTCCGCTCTGCTCTAACCTCTGACCCCGGCTACGGCTGCCGCCTGTGACCACACCTCCTCACTGCTCTTGTGTATCTGTGTCCTTGTCTGCGGGAGGTGACGGTCCTCATTCATATCACACTGAGACTGAGCTGGCCACCGACCTGGAAGTACTTCTATCTACATACATGTATCACTGATTTCTGTATGTATCTATGTGTACACGTGTCACTGACCACTGTCTATACATACATGTACCACTGATCTCTATTTGTATCACTGATCTCTATGCACACACGCGTCATTGATCACTGTTTATATACACACATACATGTATCACTAATCTGTCTCACTCTCACCAATCTCCTCTCATGCATACATGTATCACTAATATATGTGTGTGTGTTTTGTCACTGATCTCCTCTCATGTATACTTGTACCACTGATCTCTGTACATACATGTATTACTGATCTCTATACATACATGTATCACTGATTTCTGTATGTATCTGTGTGTACACATGTGTCACTGACCACTGTCTATTCATACATGTACCACTGATCTCTATGCACACATACGTCATTGACCACTGTCTATATACACACATACATGTATCACTGATCTCTATATGTATTTCTGATCTCTGTGTACACATGTATCACTGATCTCTATACATACATGTATCACTAATCAATCTCTATATGTATCTTTGATCTCTGTCTATATACACATGTATCACTAATCTGTCTCTCTCTCACCGATCTCCTCTCATGTATACATGTATCACTAATATGTGTGTGTGTGTTTGTCACTGATCTCCTTTCATGTATACATGTAACATTGATCTGTGCACACACGTGTCAATGATCTCATCTATATACTCTACATACATGTATGGCTGAGCTTTTCCTTAGATCAATAGATCACAAAGCTCTTCGCTTTCCATGCCTAATGCACAGATGTATATAGCTATTTCCTATGCAAACATGTATCAGTGAGCAGTTTACATACATACAGGGACGGACTGACCATTTGGGAATTCGGGCACTGCCCGAGGGCCCGGGGTCGGTAAGGGGGCCCCATGAGATGCCCCTGGTGCCTTTCATAGGCTTTTTTGGGTGTTGTTTGAGTGTGGATGAGGACACGGGCCCCATGATCCCCTATTGCCCGGGGGCCCCATGAGTTGTCAGTCCGCTCCTGCGTACATACATGTATCACTAGGTTATGTCATATATTGAACATAGTTGAATTGCTGAGCAGTTCTTTTCTATGTATGTATATATATATATATATTTTAATTATAAAATAAAAATATAAATTTTTATACATTTTTTTTTCTAGGGTGGATTATCCCACATCGCTTACTGACGGCACAGAGTAATGCAAAGAGCACAGTATGCAATGTGTGTGTACGCTGTATGATTAGTAGCTGTGACAGAAGGTGTACTTAGCTTTGCCCCCCGATTTATCATGGCCACAGGCACCGTGGCGGGACTCTTGCTCTGCAAGCGCTGCTCCCTTCTGCTTTTCAGAGGCACCCATAGAGGGTTTGGTGGCAGCAGATGGCACGGCTCAAACCCTAGATTAGTACAGAGTCACTATAGGACTGTCAGAGGGATGACCACCTCCAGGACAGAGACTGTCTTCAATGTGTTTGATAGAAGTATGAAGAGGAAGCAAAAGAATTGGGCAGCATCTCAAGATAACACTCAGGAGTATGACTACCTCAAGGAAGAGGTAAGTACCAACTTTCTGACATATCTGTAGCTTTCTCTTCCTATACCAGAGATGTAAGAAATTGTTGACCATCTACAAGTTTTGTATGCTCTGGCAGCCATTGTTGCCCAGGCCAGCTTTTTTTAACTTTTAAGTGCTGATTCACATACACTATATTGCCAAGAGTATTGGGACGCCTGCCTTTACACACACATAAACTTTAATGGCATCCCAGTCTTAGTCTGTAGGGTTCAATATTGAGTTGGCCCACCCTTTGCAGCTATAACAGCTTCAACTCTTCTGGGAAGGCTGTCCACAAGGTTTAGGAGTGTGTCTATGGGAATGTTTGACCATTCTTCCAGAAGTACATTTGTGAGGTCAGGCACTGATGTCGGACAAGAAGGCGTGGCTCACAGTCTCTGCTCTAATTCATCCCAAGGTGTTCTATCTGGTTGAGGTCAGGACTCTGTGCAGGCCAGTCAAATTCCTCTACCCCAAACTCACTCATCCATGTCTTTATGGACCTTGCTTTGTGCACTGGTGTACAGTCATGTTGGAGCAGGAAAGGGCCATCTCCAAACTGTTCCCACAAAGTTTGGGCATGAAATTTTCCAAAATGTCTTGACATGCTGACGCCATAAGAGTTCCCTTCACTAGAACTAAGGGGCCAAGCCCAACCCCTGAAAGGCAACCCCACATCATAATCCCTCCCTCCACCAAGCTGCACAATACAGTCAGTCAAGTATCGTTCTTGCAACTGACAAAACCAGAATTGTCCATCGGATTTCCAGACATTGAATGTGATTCGTCACTCCAGAGAACACATCTCCACTGCTCTAGAGTCCAGTGGGCGGCGTGCTTTACACCACTGTATCCGACGCTTTGCATTGCACTTGGTGATGTAAGGCTTGGTTGCAGCTGCTCTGCCAGGGAAACCCATTCCATAAAGCTTTCTATGCACTGTTGCTGTGCTATTCTGAAGGCCACATGAAGTTTGGAGGTCTTTAGGTATGCTCTGCTGACCCTGCACTGTCATTTTACGTGGCTGAGTTGCTGTTGTTCCCATTTGGTTCCACTTTGTTATAATACCACTAACAGTTGACCGTGGAATATTTAGTAGGAAGGAAATTTCACAGATGGATTTATTGCACAGGTGGCAATCTATCACGGTACCAGGCTTAAATTCACTGAGCTCCTGTAAGTGACCCATTCTTTCATTAATGTTCATGTTTCATAATGTTCGTAGAACATTTACTATGTCCTAATACTTTTGGCAATATAGTGTATATGCAGATTGGATACAGTTTGAACCACATCTAATCTGCATGACATGTGAAATAACATTGCTTTCTATGGTGTCTGTTCGCATTGTCCGGTGCACTGGCAGTGCAAAAAGAGTCCTGTATGATTTCTGAGCAGTGTGGTCCGGTTCAGGTGCAGATTATAGGCTATTGACTTCTTTAGGAACTGTGTCTAAATTGCATATGGATGAACAGGATAAAATCCTCATCTAAACCTGTCCTGAACCTGAGGTTAACCTGACCTGAACCGCTGAACAACTACTGTATAAATCAGCTGTGAAACCTGAGTTTTAATCCGCACCGCACATGTGTGAATCAGCTCTGAATGTTCTTAGGGTATCTTCTTTTATGGTTGAGTATTCTTAGGGTATTTTCAAATTTTATAGAATATTCATATGCTAACTTATCTTCTAATCACATGGTCATAGGGATTTTCTGTTCTGATCAAATGGTCTTAAGACTGGGCTCAACAAATTACAGGTGCCAGGTCGCCATGCTGACTAGAAATTGTGTCCTGGCGCCTGGGCTTTTGTCAGCCCATTTATTGTTCTGTGCCCGCCATCCTGACTCCCAAGTATGCTGTACACTCATTCTGAGCATCAGCCTGTCTGTCATACCTTGAATGTGCTCCTGGGTCCCGAGCTGCCCGCTCTGCTACAGTTTCCTTTGTTTGGTCTGCGGCAGCGTGGGCAGGGTGTCGGGGTTACGTGACCAGTAGTGGAGCACAGTTCACCCAAACTAAGAAAAGAACCACATCTTGCATCACAGAACCAGGATCAAAGCTTAGTTGGTCAGTGGCATTCAAGAGGAAGGGGGGAGCTTTCATGGACCGACCTGCCTATTGAATGTGTAGATGCTACACTGCAGCTCCACAATTCCTATACCTGTGAGCTGAGCTGATGTTGAGGGGATGTCTCTTTGCTATATTGGGATGTCTCTTTGCTGAAGATGTCTCTTTGCTGGATTGGGCTGCCTCTTTACTGGATTGGGCTGCCTCTTTACTGGATTGGGTTGTCTCTTTGCTGGATTGGGTTGTCTCTTTGCTGGATTGGGGTGTCTTGCTGTATTGGGATGTCTCTTTGCTGTATTGGAATGTCTCTTTGCTGGATTGAGCTCTCTCTTTGCTGGATTGAGCAGTCTCTTTACTGGATTGGGCTGTCTCTTTGCTAGATGGGGATGTCTCTGCTGGGTTGGGCTGTCTTTTTGCTATACAGGGATGTCTCTTTACTATATGAGGGTTTCTCTGCTGGATTGGGCTGTCTTTTTGCTATATGGGGATGTCTCTGCTGGATTGGAAGTTCTCTTTGCTGAATATATGGAGCTGTCAATTTATCACATTCCCATTGCTCGACACCCCAAAAATGCTATTTCTGGCTTCTAATTTTTTTACCTGGGTCCTATATTCAAAGAAAATTTGTCAAGCCCTGTCTTGGGATATTGTCCAAGTTGAATATACAGTATCTCACAGAACTGAGTACACCCCTCACATTTTTGTAAATATTTCATTCTATCTTTTCATGTGACGACACTGAAGAAATGACACTTTGCTACAATGTGATGTAGTGAGTGTACAGCCACTCTTGGGCATGGAGTTCACCAGAGCTTCATAGGTTGCCACTGGAGTCCTCTTCCACTCCTCCATGATGACATCACGGAGCTGGTGGATGTTAGAGACCTTGCACTCCTCCACCTTCCGTTTGAGGATGCCCCACAGATGCTCAATAGGGTTAGGTCTGGAGAAATGCTTGGCCACTCCATCACCTTTACCCGCAGCTTCTTTAGCAAGGCAGTGGTTGTCTTGGAGGTGTGTCTGGGGTCGTTATGTTGAAATACTGCCCTGCGGCCCAGTCTCTGAGGGGAGGGGATCACGCTCTGCTTCAGTATGTCACAGTACATGTTGGCATTCATGGTTCCCTCAATTAAATGTAGCTCCCCAGTGCCGGCAGCACTCATGCAGCCCCAGACTATGACACTCCCACCACCATGCTTGACTGTAGGCAAGACACACTTGTCTTTGTTCTCCTCACCTGGTTGCCGCCACACACTTGACACCATCTTAAGCAAATAAGTTGATCTTGGTCTCATCAGACCACAGGACATGGTTTCAGTAATCCATGTCCTTTGCTTGTCTTCAGCAAACTGTTTGCGGGCTTTCTTGTGCATCATCTTTAGAAGGGGCTTCCTTCTGGGATGACAGCCATGCAGACCAGTTTGATGCAGTGTGCAGCTTATAGTATTTCTCTTCTGAAAACATATTCTAATATGGGGTACACACCATCAGTTATTTTTTTTTTTTTTTTTCGTTCAACGCGGCGACTGAACAAAAAGAAAACTGAAGAGCTCGGGAGGAGCCCACTGTATTAACTATCCGATGTTAGTAAGCGATCTCTCCGATGAGCTATTGTGCTCTGACAGGGGGACTGCCCCCCCTGCCAGAAGAGCACATTGGTCAGCGTTAGCAGCCATTGGCAGCCAACACTGATCGGATGCCAATCGGATGTTGGTTTTCTAGCATGCCTGTTCAACAGAAGCTGGCTGAATCTAAGTCGGTTTATATAGGACCGGCCGATCTTTGGCCCATGTGTACTAGGCTTTAGGATGTTTTCTCTTATGATAGACTCTTCATAGGGTAGTGTGACAGCAGGTGGGGGATCATCTCCTAGCACCTGGTGTCACACTTTTAATTGGCACGACTATGCAAGGCTCAGCTTGCAAATCCGCATTTTTTAATCACTGCAGTCTGTGAATTAAGAAACTACAAGTCCTGTGTTCCACCACAGAAGACAGCTTGTAGTTCTCAATAGACTGTGAGGGCACTGATGAGCATTCTCATAGTCCATTCAAACTCCCTCCAGCTGTGCAACTGAAAACCTGTATGGAGGTATAGGCACAAAGCAGGAGGGAGAGTCTGCAAGAACCTGACATTGCACCTGCAATCTTCAGATTGCAGGTGCCATACTTTGCAGGCTCTTCTAGGAAAAAAATAATGAATGCACTCTTTTTTTTCTGCAGAAATGTGCATTTATTATTTTTTCCTAAAAGGTGAACTTACCTTTTTAAAAGGAAAAAAAATGGAAATAAAAATTGTTAAAATAAAATAAATATAAAATATATAATTAGGGGTTTTAGTAATTTTCCAGCAAACAAATACTATTATACGTGTGTGTTTTTTTTTTTGTTTTGTTTTTTTTTAATGGGTGTTAAATCCAAGACCCAACACTAAAAAGCCAAAGTGCTTGTCCATGGATTGCCACAAATAAACACGTTCTCAAAATATTTTCCATCTAATAGCTGCCCTCTCTGTCATTTTCTATTGTTCTTTTGTGCAGTAGGTCTCTGTGATCTGGAAAATTGGGTGTTTGATGTAGAAGATTCCTCTGACAACAGAGTGCAAAAAAGCAAAACGTGTGTCATGGAAATGTGACATCATGACCAGAGAATGCACCTTTCATTCACATGTTTGTTAGATTCTGGGTTTTGAACAATATGCTGTATTCTGACATTTCTTTGTGTCCCTTATTCACTTTCATTTTACTCCCTATAGGTGGCCGCTCGCATTGCTGACCGTGTCTTTGATGTAGCAAGGTGAGAATTAAAGTAGAGCTATACCCTCACTTTAAAAAATATCTGTTATTATGATTAAAATATGTGTGGCAATACTTAAAGTGTAGTTCCAGTAAAAATAAAAATGTAAAAGTCAGCAGCTATGAAAACTGTAGCTGCTGACTTTTAAAAAATGGACACTTACCTGTCCCTCGGTCTAGCGGTGTCCTCATCACCGCTGGTTTCACTGGCCGTCTTCTCTCACCAGCGCAGGGATCTTCAATGTTGGCATCCGACTGTGATAACTTGCGGCTTCACACCCGGGTGCCCACTGCACATGCTCGAGTAGCGCTGCACTTTGTGAATGGCCCTGTAGTCTTCTGGGACCTGTCACGTGTCCCAGAAGACTACAGGGAGGGAGGGGGAGGGGACAACTAACAACACAGGGATCTGAACAGAAAGCAGAGATGTGGCCGCTTTTTTTTTTTTCATCCTGCAAAGCAGGAAGTTAAAACAGTCACATGTAGCAGTGAAAGTAGCACATATTCCACATAATACACATATTAGGTACACAGTCAACCCTTTGATTGCCCCTAGATTCTAACCCCTTCTCAGCCAGTGTCAGTACAGTGACAGTGTATAGTATCAGCACTGATCACTGTAATAGTGTCACTGGAGATGTCAGTGTCATTTAGCCAGTTCCCACCCAGCATCAGTTAGTGTCAGAATGCCCACCCCACTATACTAGTAAAAAAAAAAAAAAAAATTCTAGTACATATGCCATCGTTTGTAGTTTGCTATAACTTTTGCACAAACCAATTAGTATACGCTTATTGGGATTTTTTTTTACCAGCTACAAATAGCAGAATACATTTTGGCCTAAATTTACAAAGAAATGTGATGGTTTTTTTTTATCAGACTTGTTTTATAACAAAAAATAGAAAATAGTGGGTTTTTTAAAAAAAATTGTCTATCTTTTTTAATGTATGTAATAAAAAAATAAAATAAACAGTGGTGATCAAATATCACCAAAAGAAATATCTATTTGTGTGAAAAAAAAAAAAAAATGTTTATGCAGGTAAAGTGTTGCATGACCACGCAATTACAAGTTAAAGTAGCACAGGGCCGAATAACAAAAAATGCCCCGGTCATGAAGGGGTAAAATCTCCCGGGGCTGAGGTGGTTAAATAATGCCATTGATAAGCACAATTTGATATAAATCGCCCTTCTAAAATATCGCTACAGTTATTTCAGAATATGAACCTTAAAGTGGTAGTAAGCGCTCGTTTCATATTTTTACCTACAGGCTAGCTTATAGTAAAGCTTACCTGTAGGTAAACTGAATATCTCCTAAACATTTACCATTTAGCAGATATTCTATAGAGCAGCAGCTGGTTACATCACGGGTGTGCCGTTCCTTCAGAGCTGTGTGTTGGAGCTGAGACTCCTGCGCATGTGCAAGAGTGACGTCATCGGTGGCTCGTCCAAGCAGCAGCAGCAGCCCGGGAACCTGGAAGGAAGGCCGGGTGAGGATGAAAGCCTCTCTAGTGGTGACAACGTGCCGCTGGAGGGCTTTATTCTAAGGGAAATCTTTCATAATGTGTTAGTATGCGATGCACATTATGATATTGCGGCTGGAAACTTTTTTTTTTTTTTTTTCGAACGTGTTTCCTGCCACTTTAAAAAAAATTGTGCAGTGCTTCTGAAAAGCATAAATATAGAAGTGTCAAGAAATCATACTCATAAAATAAATATACAGTATATAAAAAATATATACCCAAGTGCAAAAAATACTCCCCAATGTATAAATCAATAGTTTGCTAATTGTCATCCACAAAAAATTGTCTTCATTCAATCCAAGAATCCACTTCCACACACCATGCTGAGAAACTGCTCACCAGAGGATGAGGCCTCACAAGCAAAGAGGTCCAATGCGCTCAGTATAAGATGAATCTCTTACACAGCTGGTATTACCAGGAATCCATCAGCGCTCTTTAGCAATTTGGAGCCACAAATGGCATATTTCTAATCTAACAAAGAACGAGAGGTCAAATGGAATGAGAGGTGAATGGGGCCTAATAACTAATTTACCATTCTTTCTTTTGCAGAATATTTCCATTTGCTTTAGATCTGGGCAGTGGAAGAGGTTACGTTTCACATAATTTAACAAAGGTACGTGTCTTCATTTAATAAAAAAGCTTTGTTACACTGGGTGCACACTTGTGTACTGTGGGACACTGCATGTGATTCGCACAGGAATCGCAGTGCATTCCTCTGCACATCACATGCGATGTCTGTGCAGTGCGATTTGAGCCATACATTTTGTATGACTCAAATCGCATTTGCACCAAAATGGTGCAGGACCCTTACATCAGTGAGGGGAGCTCTGAGAGCTGAGTGGAGGGAAGGACATACCCCCCTTCCCAAGGGAACAGAGCTGAGGCTGTCAATCTGCTGGAGGTCCTTCCCCGTCACCATTTTTCTCTTGGTGTCTGGAAAACTCATTTTACCTTCATGTATTCTCTGTATGAAGGTAACAAACCTTCTGTGTACTGCAGCCCCCCCTCCCCCCCCAATACTTACCTGAATCCAGCGATGTGCACCTGAGCCTTGGCTCTCCAGAGAAACTTCCTTCACATTGGCTGAGACAGCAGTGGGAGCCATTGGCTCCCGCTGCTGTCATTCACAGCCAATGAGCCAATGCTGAGCAGTGGCTCAGGAACAAGCCTGCTTGGGTGCCTCCATAGCAAAATGCTTGCTTTGGAGGCACTCAGCAGGACGGAGGGGCCAGGAGCACTGACAGGGGACCTCAGAAGAGGAGGATTGCGGCATCTTTGTGCAAAACCACTGTAAAACATGTTTGTTGGGGGGGGGTTTTCAGTTGCTTTTGATATCACTTTAGATGTAGAGCAATTGATTTTTATTTGAGAAAAGTGGAGTTGGGCTTTTGGTCAGTCCTTGTCAAAGGCACTAGCCTACCTTTATATACATAACTACATTTTCTCAGTCAGAACAAAGCTGCATTAGTGCTATTGCTGTCTTGGCATTCTAGAGTGGCCAACGTTCAGGGCTGGTAAAAGCCGCAGTGGATTTTACTGTGGTGAAATGGCTAAATGTGGCCCCACATGTATCAATCTGGGAATAATTTAGGCACAAGTGATTTGTTATCAATAAACATATCAAACTATGCAACATGTACAGTATACAGGAAAAACATGATCTATTGGAAGTGATCTATGAAACATAATCTTTTAATGGATATGTAATACACTTGTCTGTCTGATAGACATGCAGATATTTGTTTTTATGCTGTATAAAATTTCATCACAGGCGATTACCTTGCCAGCATTGAAATTCAATTTGATTATTAATTTCTTCAAATGATAGATTGAACGACCATACCAAAGTGTATGGCCATTTTAAAGTGGTTCTAAAGGCTCAAGGTAATTTACCTTCATGCATTCTGTGCATGAGTTATAAAACCTATATGCAGCGGCCGCCCCCCTTCGATCCAGCGATGTTCACAATAGCCTCGGCTGTATAGGAACTCTCCCTCCTCATTGGCTGAGACATCAGCGGGAGCCCATTGGCAATCACAGCCAGTAAGCCAATGAGGAGAGAGGGGGGAAGGGAGCTAGGTGAGGCTCTGTGTCTTATGGACACATAGAGCAGTGCCTCAAGAGCAAGCACTTAGCGGTGCCCCCAGGGCAAGCAGCTTTCCCTGTGGGCACTGCTCAAGGGGGAGGAGCCAGAGTGCTGGCGGGAGACCTGAAAAGAAGAAGGTTGGGGCAGCTGTGTGCAAAGCTACTGCACAGAGCAGGTAAGTATAACATGCTTGGTATTTTATAAATAAAAAGAAAACACAGCTTTAGTATCACTTTAAGGCATCATTCACAAAGGTGGTAAAAATGAGTGACACGGTCGCGTTTTTACTGCCCACTGCAAACTTTACAAGGTAGCCAAGGGAGGTCATGCACAAGCTGCATCTGCGATACTGTGCTTTGTAGCCACAGCAAATTTAACTTGCCGAGTTTGATAGGACTTATTGAAGTCAATGGGACCACGCTGCAACTGCAAACTGACTGAGTGGCTTGTGGTTGCAGTGTGTTAGTTTCTGAAAAATTGCCATTATAGAAAAAAGCAAAAAAAAAACAAGCATTTGGTTGGCAGGAAAGTGACTGAATGCCACAGCGGATTGCTGCACAGAGGGCAGCAGAAACAGCTGCATGTGTGAACCTAGCCCAAGAGAGAATAGTGCAGTACCAGGGAATACCAAATGACCAGACACGGCTTCCATGCCCAGCAAACATATGTGCTGATCATAGTCCCCAAACAAATGATCAGATTGCATCTTTCAGTAGTTAAAGAGAACCTGTCAGGGTTTTTTTTTTTTTTTAAATACAATCCAGCCTTTGCTTCCATGTTGGAGGCTAATGTTGCATTCTTTCAGAATGTAGTGTTGCTTCAAAGACAGATCACACATTGACATCATCACTTACATTAATGGGGCAGCCGCCTGTGCCAGAAGGGATCCTTGACAAACCTCCAGTGAGGTTCACTTTAAATGTGGTAATGTTAATCTGCAGCAATAATCAGCCTGTTTGTGGGCTCCTTTACATTTAGCTGTTTTATTCATGTTCAGCTTTTACTGTAACTTCTGGAGAAAACAGATGTGAGAGCTTAGTGTTTTTATTGAGCTTTGGTTTTATAGTGAATACATATATTGAGCTGAACTCCAAATAAGAACAATAAGTCATGCCATGTCACTGGCCGAACCAGCAGGTGTCACTGTTGCTGTATGGAAAGTATTTTGAAAAGAACTGCTGTTAGAAGAAGCACAGTGAATGTCGTCTCTAAATGTGGCCACACATAAATCGATGTGATCTCTCATATGATCATTCAGTGCAACTAAAATATTCAAACTGAATAAGAATCCAAAAGCACAGATTCTCCACATAAATGATTTAATGAGATTTCAATTGACTATGGTACTGGCAAGTCGTTTGGTCATGACAGAAGTTTTTCAGGCTGATTGACCATAAGAATATCTGTATACGTATGTGTCCGACAACCAATCATAATACAGATTGTTTAAATGCTTGTTTTTAATATGTTGTTTCTGATAGATCGTATTTTCAAATGATACCAGTTGCATTGCATTGTTCAGTATTTTAATCAATGATAAATCACTTATTTGCGGTCACAAATTGATATGCATATGGACACTGTTAGATGGGGTTGCTAGGCTTTATCACCATGAAAAAAAAAATCCATAATCAACTCAAATCAATCAAATTTAAAGTAGAACTGAAGGCAAAACTTTTTTTCATTTTTGTAGAGCAAGATAATGTTATAATCTATGTCAGGTTTTTTTTTTTTTTTTTTTTTTGCAGTCTTTGTCCTATTCAGGAAATTTCCCTTCCTTTCCTGGACCATAGCCAAAACAGAAAGTGAGATGAAATCCTGCCAAAGTGAGGGGATCCCTGGTTGGCTGTTGGACGATTTCCCCTCTATTACTGACCTGGGGATAACCCAAAATTTGGGATCTTCTTTTACTTTCCCTTACGATTATAACTGTAAACATGACAAATCAAAAGGGTAACAAACAGAAATAAAAACCTGACAGGTATTCTAATCCCTCTCCACTCTATTCAAAGCTCAAAAAAAGTTTACCTTTAGTTATATTAATATACTGTCAGATTGTGAAGTAATCATGTGTAAGATCCACTAAGCATAAAGGATGAAGTCTGATTTCTGTACCTACATGACTATTATCCAAGACTTGATTTCAGTGTCTTGTAATGTCTTGTACAGTAGCACTTATTATGGGAGGGAAGGACAGCATCTGGGGCCCATCAAGTGTCATGTACTCATGCGCTGACAAATAACATGCTGACAGAAACAGAGAAAAGCTAAATGACCTCATCAGTGTGTTTCTGATCCTTCACTGTCCAGTAAAAGTCTTGGGGGCGGAGAGATGACCTTGCTGCATTTCCTAACTGCAGTAGGGAAAAGTCAGGTCATGTGGGTTGCTATGCGTAAATCTCAGGACTAGAAACACAGAAAAAAAATCCTTTAGCAGGTAAAAAATGCTTCAATATATGTTTTTCTTTGGTGAATTTATTTTTTCCCCTAGAGTACAACTTTATTATATTCAGCTAAAATATATAAAAATAATAAATGCATACATACAAAAAAATCCTGGCCATATTACATTTTTTAATATATTTTATTAGTGTACGTTTACATCTGAGAAAAAAGTTTAGCATTTTGTTTTAGTCAAGTAAATATGAAATATGACATATATACAGATGGCAAGCAGTCAAGCTGCTTTCTGCAGGAAAATTTATATCTGAGCTGTTATACAGCATTTACATAGTCTGCAGATAATGTCACACAGGAAGGATATACTATTCCATTTCTCTCAAACTAGAGGAGGGAGTTTCTGCATAGTCAGTAATACAAAGGGTGCTCCTGAACATGCACCCAAACTGCATACTATATAAACTGCACATCATGAATACTCTGTGCATTAAATTTTTATTTATACCATTAGAATGGTATGCAGATAAGTTTATAGACTTTTAAAAACTTGGCAATCACTGTGCACAATTGCAGTTAAAAAGAGAATGTCAGATCCAACATAGATCAATTTGGTTAGAATTTTTCCTTGATTCCATACAAGTTCAATACCACTTTTTAAGCACTGATAAAGTGAGAGTGTTGTTGCCTCTGAAACGCATTGACTTTGTTTGAGATTGATTTACGGATAATTAACAGTAGACTTTCATATTTTGGTTTGTTTCAGTGTGTCCACACTTTGAGTCGCTTTCAGGTTCCCATTGAGAGAGGCCTGTTTTGTTTTGAAAGCTATCTTACACAAAATGGCCCAAATTTCACCCATTTGCATGCTACCTCTGATGCCCACTGTGGGTACCCTGGAGATCATAAACTGTGATACCATTCTGATTGCGGTCTTGCCTTGGCTACCTCAAAATGCACCACACTCCAGTAAGTTGTTCCCCTTTATCCCTCTGCTGCCTATTCTTCACAATACACTTTTTCTTCTGTGATGGGACCAGACGAGGTTGTCTTCATGGTGGACCTGGCCTGTCTTCACCCATATATGTATATATATGCATGCCACCTCTGACGCCCACTGTGGGATCTCT